GACAGCAATGTGCCGGTAATCTGTCTGGGTGATTTCAATGCCAGAGTTGGAAGTATCACCAGTGCAGGTTGCGATGACCATGCTTGGGATGTTGAAGATGAAGCAGGTAGCAGGTTGAGGCAATTTGCTGACAAATGGGATCTCATGATCCCTTCCACATATGCGCAATTTCATGATGGTCCTTCTGCCACCTTCATGTCCCCGTTGGGATACAGCAGTCGTATCGATTTCATTTTGATCTCCAAAGACTCTCAAGCTGGTATCATTCGATCTTATGTTGACAAAGAGATCGATGTTCTCAATGGAGATGGGGAGCATAGACCTTTGATGTTAGAAGTCGGAATGCAGTGGTCGCCTAAGGGGGATGTCAGGTTTCTTCGAAGCAGTTTTTACGACCGTGTTGCTGCAAGAGAATGGTGCAAGATGGGAAGTGTCCAGTTGATGAGCATGTTACCAGAACAGCCATGGTCTCAGGATGTTAATGCTCATTGGGCAAACATCAGGCAACATCTGCAGGAAGGAGCCGCGAAATATTTCCCCAAAAGGAAGAGGAAGCCAAGGCAGTTGTACTTCAGTGAGAACACATGGAATCTACTGTGTGACCGCAAAGATCTACGTCAGCAACACCGAACGATCCAGAGAGAGATCAACATGCAGGTGCTGAAGCAATGTTTTCTTGCGTGGAAAGGCAAGCACGAACATGTGGAGCAAAACAAATTGGTGGACTGGGACCTTGCGTTGTTGCGTCAGCAAGAAGCAGTGACGTTGGAAGCCAGGATCAACATTGATGCACGTTTCAGGTCATGCAAAAAGTTGGATTGGAGAAGGTGGATCAAGGAACAATTGGACCAAAAAATTCAGCAAACAAACCATGCAAGCAATGGAGATTTGTTTAGCATCTTGCAGCCGAAAAAGATGATTGCAAAGCATGCTGGGAAACTTACCAAGCCTCTTCCTGGTTATCGAAGTTTGGATGGTCAATGGAAGTTTTCAAGGGTCGACATTGCAGAAGCGTGGCAACAGCAGTTTGCTGACATCGAAAACGCCGAGACTGTGGTCTTCGCTGATCTTTTGACCAAATCCAAGCCCACCTGTGTACCTCGGACTGCTGAGCAGCTTTTGGAAGTGCCAACGTTGATGGATGTAGAGAAGGCTCTGAGACAGTTGAACCTGGTCAAAGCAGCAGGCCTTGATGGACTGGGAGCCGAACTGTTCAAAGGCGATTGTGCTACAGCAGCAAAGAGGATCTATCCTCTGGTCTTAAAAATGGGCCTGCGATGCCAAGGTGTGCCGGAGCTCACAGGAGGCTGGCTCCTTCCTTTATTTAAAGGTAAGGGCAGTGCTCATGACATGAAAGGCTACAGGGCTATTTTACTCGAACCGGTTGTAGCCAGAGTGATATCAAAGGCATGGAGGCACATTATGGTGCAGGGCCTGACGCGGGTTGCTTGCCCAATGCAGTGGGGAGGGCGTTCTGGGCTGTCAATAGAGAGCTTGCACCTTCAGGTTCAAATGTGGCAAGCACAAGCTCGACGACAGAAAGAATCCCATGCACTCCTCTTCATTGACATACGCTCTGCTTTTTACTCCGTGGTCAAAGAGATGTTGACTGGATGTGGAAACGATGTGCAGATCAGGAAGGTTTTTGATCGCATTGGTTTACCCCTCTCAGCATGGGACCAGTTCCAAGCTAATGTCAAGTATGAGAATATTCTTGGACAAGCGACCCAGTCAACATTGACAGCTGACAACACGGAGGCTCTCCTCCAACATACATGGTTCACTATCCCGGACGGCAGGAGCATCCAGGCTCCTGCCACGGGCTCCCGCCCGGGAGACCCAGGGGCAGATGTGCTATTCAGCCTTGTGATGTCGCGCATTCTGGGGCGAATACATGAAAGAGCTTGTCGAGCTGGTATGCCACTTCACTATCAAGACAACGTGTCAGGCATCTGGGTCACACGATGTGTGACGTGGGTTGATGATTTGGCCGTATCAGTATGTGCTTCTGCTGACCAAGTGGTAGACAAAGCGGCCCACATGATGTCTATCATCCAGGACACGATGCTGGAGCATGGCATGGTTTTGACTTGTGGAGTTGGAAAGACGGCTGCGATCTTTGCTTTCCATGGTGAAGGGGCTACAAAAGCAAGACAAGCTTTCGAGCGTACAAGCAGTGAAGGTTTGTGCGTTATGTCAGAACACACAGGCTGTCTCAGGATCCCCATTGTCGCTCATTACAAACATCTTGGTGGACATATCACAAGAACTGGAAGTTGTTTGCAAGAGATCAAAGTGCGGACTGCCAGTACCATGGCCAAGTTGCATCCCTTGAACAAGCTGCTGAAGAATCCCAGCATGGATCTGGAAAAGAAGCGGCTTTTGATCAAGAGTATTGGTATTCCAGTTCTCACACTGCATGCTGGAACCTGGACGGATCTCACGCAGGGAGAGTATGATGCATGGCAAGCTGGTGTTTTCCGAACATATCAGCAGATCCATTCCAGAGACCAACAAGGGCAAGTGAGGCATCTCCAGCTCTATGAGCTGGCGAGAGACATGGATTCACCTTTGCCTATGGAATTGATGTATGTCCAACGTCTTTGTTCCACATCATGCATGTTGCGGATGAATATATGATAGGAGCTGTTCTCCACAACCATCAGATCATGCAAGGTCAATCGTGGCTGCATGGTGCGGTGAAAGCAGTTAACTGGATGAGGAGACAGATCGGAGACATGTTGGTGCCTGAAGAGCTTAGTCACCTTGAGGACGTGGCAACATGGAAAGATTTTCAGCCATTTGCAGTCACTTTGAAGCGTGGCCTGCGGAAGGCACAGAAATCTCATTTGCTCAAGATCAAAGCTTTTCTGACTGTGAAAGGGCATGCGGAGGAACAAGACCAGATGTTGCGTGAGATGGGATGGCAAAGAGTGGATGAAGAGGATTTGAACCAGAGAGACAGTGAGGTCAGTGCGTGTGAAATTTGCCATGTCACTTTTGCTTCCCAAGCAGCTTTGGCAGTCCATCAGCAGCGCAAGCATGGCTACAGGATGGCTATGAGGCGTTTTGCCACGGATGCTTGTTGTCGCATTTGCAAGAGGTTTTTCCACACAAGGCCCAGACTTTTGCGTCATCTCCATATGGGAACCACTGATTGTTGGATTGGACAGTGCAGGAGGTTTTATCCTATGGAAGTTGCAGAGGCCAATCGTTTGGATGAACTGGACAGAAAACAGGGATTGGCAATGCACCAGACAGGGCTGTTGGATGCAAAGGTTGATTCTTTGTGGAGGCCGTGTGAACAGCATGAAATGATTTCAACTTTACAGAAACGGGATGTTGATGCAGGTGAGACTGGCAAGCCATCAAGTGAAGAATTGAGGCAGTGGTCTGCGTTTGGCATGCTCCCGCCCGGGCAGGGAGGTAGGAGTAAGACATCTCGTAAAGTTGGAGACATGAGTGTTTGCAGCATCAATAAGGCGGCAGCAGCTTTGGAAGTGGAGTTGCTTGGAAAGCTGAAGCACTGGCTACCTGCCTTTGATTGGATTCCACGGCCGATGTCGACAGGCCAGAAATATGTGTTGATCCTATTTTCTGGTCATCGCCGATATTCGGACATTGCCAGCTGGATGGAGTGGCAAGGCAATGTCCAACCGATCAGTGTGGATCTTGCCATTGATCAAAAGTTTGGCAATATCCTTGAGGATGGTTTGTGGCGCCGCCTCATTATGGCGCGCAAAGTCACGGGGGTGCATGCTGCACCCCCATGCGAGACTTACACACTGGCACGATGGATGGAGGTGAACGATGGCCCAGCACCGAGACCATTACGTGACGTGCAGTCTCCATGGGGCAAGGATGACCTTACCCTACAAGAAGTTACACAGTGCTTTGTAGGAACTTTGCTCATGATGAAAGCGTTGTCCCTGATGGTTTTGGCATATTGTTTTGGTGCCTCCTTTTCATTGGAGCACCCCAAAGGAGTTGAGGGTCGTGAAGGACGCTGGACCATTTGGGATTCAGCAATGATCCAACAACTCTTGTTGGCAGCAGATGTCAAAAGAATTGATTTTATTCAAGGTCCGTTAGGACAGCCCTTTACAAAGCCCACATCATTGCTCACTGGAAGGCTTGAGAATTTCGCCATGGAGCTCTTCAAGCACTACCAACCGGGTTGGAAGCCAACGGAATGGTTAGGTGGACGGGAGAGCAACAAAAAAGGGTGGCGTACGGCCAAAGCGAAAGCCTACCCCCCTTTGATGTGCAAAGTGATCGCCGAAGCTCATTTACGTTATGCCCAGGGTTTGACTGAAGAGGGATTTGAAGAAGATCCAGAACTCTTACAGCAAGCATTGGATGCTCTGGCCGCAGGTTTTGACCCGTACATGGTGGGAGCAAAAGGCATAGAAATGACGAGCGATTACTGGAAGAACATGGGCGACTTTTAGATTTGTTTCAATTTTGGTCCCTAGGCTAGTAGCCATGTCAACAGACATGAAGTGAAGACCTTGGGCACGCATGTCTCGCTACAGCAGCTTTTGAGACGTGCCTGCAAGCAGGCGTCCAGAACAGGACTCGAGCAGAGTGGAATAAATAAAATATAATTATAATATGCATATATGTATATATTATGGGAACATATGGTAGTTTTCCAATGCAAATCCATGATTTTGGCTGTTACATTGACACCCCAGAATTGAATGACGCGAACATGTACAGAAACCCCTAGAAAAGTTAGGACAGGTACCAGATTTCCACCAAATCCACAGGTTGCTTGCATGAAGAGACCTGTTGCTTATAGTTGGGGGTCTTAAAACCTACAACTGGTGTATTGGCAAAAAAAATGATTGTTTTTTGATAACCCACAGGAGTTATCAACATGAACTGCAGTTTTTTGGGATTATGATATGGCAATTTGACACACAAGCCATGAACCAATTTTTTTAATCAACAAATATATATTTATCAGGTATTTCATTGTCACTTTTGGCGCTGAGGTCGCTTGCAAATGAAGAGACCCAGCAATGCTTCGGTGTCCTTATTTTTCCGACGAGAACCTGCCGTCTCGCGAGTTTGGCTCTTCCTCCAGGTGCGTCGCGACGCGGAAGATCATGGCAGGTCCACCGTATAGTTGATGGTCAACATTTTGAATGACAAACTTATGGGACATCCATCTTCAAGAATCATGGGGAAGTCTCATTTTTGGGTGAAAACCAAGGGAAATCCAACTTACGAATCGGAAAGACATCGGGGAAATCCCAGTTTTTGATAGCACAATCATGGGAAATCCATGGAAATCCCAATTTTCATGGGATAATCAAGGGACATTCCAATTTTTGATGGCAAAAATCATGGGAAACGGATTGAATTCCCTCAGGGTCCGTTCTACCACCTACCATTTTCGGGGGATTCCGCTGTGACCAGGACCCAGATTCCAGTAATGCCGCCTGGTACTACGCCAATTTCTCCAATTACTTCATCGCAGCTGGGACAGAAACCTGTGGTCAAATTGGAACTATATAAAAAACTGAAGCGTTACTTTTTGAAAAATCATCTGTGAATGCGGTATTTTCCATTGCCACATTTGATTCGGTACAATAAAGCCTGCAAGGCAGTGAAAGTGGCAGAGACTCAAGAAGAACCCAGGCTCCAGGTTTAGGTTCGCCTCCCTGTGGATGGGTCATGTGCAGGAAGAATGTTGACTTCGGATTAATTTCTATTTTGGGGCACTAGTCCCAGAAGTGACTGGGACAAAAACGACCTGAAATATGTCAATATTTAGACATCGTGTACACATCTCTTATGGTGTACCTAGATTCATTTCCCATCCAGGTTTCCCAGTGCCCGTTAAAAAAAAAGCATTTTTTGGGACCACATGGGACCACATGTTCAGACCCTTGGGGCCTTGGACCTGGCTCTCTGAGACGATGACGATCATCTTCACCATTTGGCAAGCGGCCTCAGAACCGCCGGTGTCGCGCTTCGCCGAGGGGGTGGCCCAGATCACCATCGAGGCGGGCGGGTTCCAACCCATGGCAGAGGTAGAGGACCATTCATGGCCACCATGGTTAAAATTGCCATGTAATCTGACTATGGCGCATAACAACCAGGGAATCACAAAAAAAAGTGAAGTGAAACGAGAGGAAAGAAGGATAGTGCGAGTGAAAAAAAACATCGCAACAACAGATGGACTTTCGAATTTGGACCGGTTAAAGAGCTGTTAACTTCGCCAGAGCCAGAGGTTTCTCAGAAAGATCTCGAAACCGTTGCACTTGTCACCAGATATGTCACCAGATATCCCTCAGGACGCTAGGATTCCCACCTCTTTTCCAGTGTCCAAAACTAGAATTTTTGACCATATACGTCTTCCACTTTTTTCATGTGGTTTTCACTAATAACTAATATCGTTTTTTCATGGGTTGTCATCATTTTTCATGTTTTTTTTCACATCATAAGTTTTTTTTTTCACTTGTTTTGTTGGGTACATTTTTTTCCATAGTCTTACTGGTGCTTATATAGCAGGGAATTTTTGGGAATGATCCCAGTCATCACTAGTAATGTCATCATCCCAGCAACCCCATTCCCAACCCATCCATTCCCTACGTAAAACGCACCAGTAGTTTTTTTTTCCACCAAGCTGATTCCCTTCTTGACCAAAACAGCATTTCCCTCTGGTAAACTAACATAGCTATTGAAAATCACCATTTTTTATGGGAAAATCAACTATTTCTATGGCCATTTTCAATAGCTATTTGTATGTTTACCAGAGGGTTCCCCATCTTCCAGGGGCTCATGCTGTTGGAATTCATCATCCATTGGATCTCAAGCGCCCAAAGACTGGTCCCTGGGATGCTGAACAGGGTGGACTCCGTGGATCAAACAGGGAGACGCGACATAGCACCGAGCCTTTTAGGCATTTTTTTAAGAAAGGGCATGTGATGACAAACTGATGATTTTTTCTACTTGAACTAGATATATCATGATATATCCACTTTTGAACAATGTTAGATATATCATGATATATCAGATATAATATATCCTAATCATGCTCCGTGATAAGCGTTTAAGTCACATTCAAGTCACTTGCCAATCATGTGCAGGGATTGGGTACATTTAGCCAGGACTGCTTGGAACAAAAAAACTTGGGGATCTCTTCATATTTCGTGGGATTTTTCACTCCAGGGGGTACCAGGATAGACAGATCTCCCGGCAGGTTGTTGGGCAATGGAAGAATCACTTGCCATACCCTCAATTTCTCAGATGGCAGCGGAAAACATTCGCTCAATTTTCATGGCAATTTCCTCCAGAAATGGAGAGATTTTCCAGATCCGCTCATTATTTAAAGGATACCCTCTGGTAATGACTAACATAGCTATTGAAAATGGCCATAGAAATAGTGGATTTTCCCATTAAACATGGTGATTTTCCATAGTTATGTTAGTCATTACCAGAGGGTATTTCTCCAAGAACGTCACCCTTTATAGCCAACCATGCTGGGCAAGTCAAAACATCACCATGCGGGCTGCAATGTTGGGATTCCGGGTGACGCAGGGGCGTCTCAAAAAAGGGAACTTTGAAGGAAGCCTTCCATGACAATTCAGGCTTCAAAGATAACCTTTCAGCACTCCAGCTTTTCTGATGCTTCACACCTTTGATAGTGTCATTTTTCCTTGATGTTGTACTAGAGATGAAACTCTCCAAACGCCACCAAACCTTCAGTGACTCGTTTATCAGTCAACATTCATGGCAGAAGCATCAGTTTTGGTCGATTAGTAGACACAGTAAACCATCCCATCTTGGGGTACCCCACATACTCATGGAATATTCATATACCCACATCCAAGCAAACATGACAATGGAACATCCTACATTTATAGATGGTTTCCCAGAAATAAATCTCAAAAAACGTGATTTCCCAGCTAGCCAATTTGATGACACCGGAGGGTACCCTAATGGCTAGCGGCTTGACACATCCCCACATTGGTGTGGCTGGGACCGCCACGGGCTAATTAGATCAACATTGTTTGCATCCCATGTTTACGTGAGTTTTTGATCAGAAACCATTCCATTTGGGACAAGCTCCGAAATTCCGACGCATCCCATGTTCAACGCTCGCCCCCCAAAAAACCACGACGTTTGGGACGTGTTTTTTTGGGCTTTTTGAGCTCCCCGCGTTGTAGGCGTTCCTGAAGAACGCCTACAACGTCCTGGACCTCTTGGCCATCGTCCCTCTGGGCTTCCGCATCGCCTACGGTATCGCCACCCCCACGGTGGACGAGAACCTGGCGGTGCACGCGCTGCTGTGCTGCTTCGTTCCGGTGGTAAGGCAACTGAAACTGATCCGAAAGTTCCAGAAGCTGCAGCTTCTACTGCACCTTGGAGGGGACTTTTGATGATGGGATAACCATAGAACCGTTTTTGGGATGATGATGGAAGGTTTTTGGGTTGATTTCAGCAAACTAACTAATTATATGAGAAAGCCAATTTTCCAACAGATCACAGGGACCTTCGATTGGTTGCAGTGTTGAGATCACGAGCGGCACCCGGATTGAGCCAAGATTCTGGATTTGGTTGAAATGACAGGAAACCATCAGCTGAATTAATCTCTTGTAAATTTTCCATTCAACTAACCCTGATTCTTCTTGTCAACGTGCGATTTGGACATCTTCTTGGGAGGAATGCCCGTTCCACAAATCGACTTTTGGATGCTGAAATGACTGGAAATGAGATGTCATGAGGAGCCCAATTCTTGGAGATTCTCCATCCAATTTCAATTCCCATATCTGGGGTCAAGCTTAAGACCCAGTTGAGGCCAGATGTTTGGGCAATTTTTCATCATTGTAAGTGATTAACATAATATTATATTGATGTAATGTTATTTCATATATTTACCATCTTTTGATTCATTTCAAACCATAATATATTGACCATCCACCTTTGGAGCGACCCATCTCACTTTCAGACTTTGTACTGGTGGCAATGTGCGTCGCTTCATATCTTCATCACAACATCCCTTTTGAAGACAAGCAGAGGTTGATGTCCCAGCCCCATCTTTGGGTTATCTCATTCCTTGACATGTTTTTGCATGTTGAATATAGGCTAAGGCAGTAACTAAAACATAATCACCCCTCCAACTTGCGTAGTTGAATAGTAAAATATATTCTAAAATGTCCATCAATTCTGATTTTTTTCTGTGGGTAACCCCGTGCCCAAGGCACGTACTGTCGACGACTTTCGATGCTCTGAAGCTTTTGCTGTTCTTAGTTTGTTTGATTGCGGCCTGGCTGGGAGGCAGCTGGGATGGTTCACCCTGTGAGCAGATGCGGTTTCATACACTCAACCTTGAGGAAAAATGAGTAACGTGTGTAGGAACCCAGAAGTTTCTTGATTTATTTTTCTTTCACGTTTTCCGCCCAAAAATCAACACTGCGTCAAGTTTCTGAAAGTTCCTGGAAAGCCCTATAAAGTTCTGAGGTTCTCTTCTTCGGATGCATCCTTTACGTTTTGGAGCCAGCACAGAGCAACCAGTCCCTGTCGGAATCGATCTATCTCTGTACTGTGACGGTCACCACCGTGGGCACCTGACGCTTGGACCACAAACCCCAGGGCTGGCTGGGAACTGGGTAGGAATTCCCCCGGTTACTAAACCGTCCCCCTGGCCCCTCCTGCCCAAATAATAAACACCTGGAGCTAGGGATTAAGCGGGATGATCCTTGGATGATTTAGGATCCTTTAACCTTTGGCTGCAAACTGGGATATTTACAAAGCCGTGTTTTTGTTTTTGGCAGGGACAAGTGCTGAATTCTAGGTACATTTTGATTGGAACACCAGATGTAAATCTCCGGGTTTTGATTCACCACTTGATCTTAGGCACCAAAGACTAGCAAAGCTGTGGATTTCTGTGAGACCTTGACGAGAAACACCACGATTTAAGTCATGGATTTTCGGGTTGACTCAGTCAGTTCCTCCAATTTCGAAGCGTTGCCTTTTAAAAAACAGCTGGGAGTCCTTTTCCACAGCTGGGAGTCCAGTTTTTCAGCAGGTGATATGGCCCCAGTAACCTGGCCCGGGAAGATTCTGGCGGGTGTTCTTTGTCTCATCAGCGTTCTCTTCATGGCAATGCCTCTCTCTGTGCCATGGCAGCCTTGGATTGGAACAGGATGTGGAATTGGAGGATGCAAACCGGGGATGGCCAAACTGTGGCAAACTGGAGACCATATTCGAATGTGGATGTTGGTGTAAAAATGCCACTTAAACTGAAAAACGCTTGGCAATACTTTGAATATGGGGGGTCTACAATTTTCAGACAAAACCCAACCATCATTTTTTTCAGATACTGAAAAATATATGAGGTTGATTAGATACCATTACCATCCATTACCGCAGGTTTTTTTTTCGGTTCCCAGGTTCTGGGCAATGCAATGTCCAATACCTGGGCCGACCGGCACCGAATTCTCCTGATGACGCAGACCCGTCGAAGGTTAAAGAATTTGGGCTACACGGCAGGCGGGAAAACTCCCAGAAGTTTTCTGAAACCTTGGGGAAAACAGGAGTTTGGGTGATCTACCAGGTTTGTTCAATTCCCAGCGTTTATTTGTCCCAAAGTGTTATAGTAGCATTTATCTGAGAAAATTTCGACTTCAGCGAGCTCAACGATTTACGAAGATTGGCAAGTGAAAGCGCCGGAAGACATGTCAGGTTGGTGACAACAAACATATTTCCAGATCATTGCAATTCCCCGTTCCATTTTTGGCTGTTAGACATCCCCGATCATGTATCCGTCGAGATGTCATTTTTTCTGCCCATATGCATGAGCACTTTTAATCCCAGCCCTGTTCCAGCTACTGGTCTGTCATGCCACCCTGCAACTCCAGAAGACATGCCAAAGCTCTTTAAGAAGTTTGACAAAGATGGCAACGGCGATTTGGAAATGGAAGAGTTCTGTGCAGCTCGGCAAGTGGTGAAGATTTGTCCAAGATGGGGATAGATCACATGATACAACATGAGCAAACATCACATGAGATACTGTAACATGATAGGGCAACCATATACAATCTATATATACAAACATCGGGGTTCAAAACCAACGCTCCACCTTCAGGAAGTGATTCTTGTCAATTTTGATCCATTCCTCTCTGCATCTCTGGTTGTTTTGAATCAACACTTGGAACATCTCAAAACTGATCTCTTCAGAATGCGTGACTCAACTGCATAAAATCTCGGTTCCAGGATCAAGCAGATGTGGCTGAAAACATGGTAGGGCGAGATATCTGTGTAATATATGGATATCTATATCTCAACGTCTCCCTCTCTCCACATCTACATACCTCCACATCTCCGTATCTCTCTCTGTCTCTATACATACATACATACATATATATATATATGTATGTATTATTATAGTATATATATATATCTACACAATCAATACATCTATGTGTCTATTTTGGACAAAAAACCTATATTGTCTATCATATATATCAAAAACGCGTACCACGGAAAAGCAGGTGTTGTGACACGTCTATCCACAACGAAACGCGCAAAGAATCACTGAGATCAACCCAGGACTTGGTGGCTACGATGAGGGTTGGCATCAAACCCTCGGAGGTGTGCTGGATGTTTTTGGAGCTTTGCATGAGGACATTCATACTCAAATTGGATCAAATTGGTATGATATACATATATATATATATACATACACCATTTGATATGAGATATAAGCACTTTTTTATTTATCATATTTTACACATATAGTCATCTATCAGTACAGGCGTTGCCACAATTATAGAATGGAATTAGGAGTACAAAAATTACGGTATTTTACCGTACTTTCGTACTCCTTCGGATCCGGAATCCGCGCGGATTCGGATCCTGGTCTATACAGTAATTAATTTGTGGTCCTCAATTTCCGTTCTATAATTGTGGCCATGATTTGGATATTATGTACATAGAAGCCGTAATTATAGAACAGAATTATTGCAATTTTAATTATAAGACAGGCAATTATAGAACACGCAATTATAGAACAGAATTGGTAAATGTTAGAAATATGGGGGGAAACACACACTTATGGAACACAAACAAGAATTATAGAACAAAAAAGTTAGGAGTAAGTTGAGAGTAATATTTTTTCCCAATGTTCTGAGGAAACAGGAATTATGGAACAACAGGGTACGGTAAACAACCGTACTTTCGTACTCCTCAACTTCCGTTCTATAATTGTGGCAACCACCATACTGTAATGTGGAGTGAATTCATGAGAAGTGACGGAGACATATCTACAACTCATTTAATTTCACTTGTAGATTTCACTGGTTGCGGGACGTCTGCCGGACAGTGGTACACAACCTGACAAAAAGGACAGGCTTGTGCTCGATGGAGCCATCACCATCCCAATTCTTGTTTGAATCCCTATGAATCACCATTTAAATCCCTTTTTTCAACCATAAAATCGCCATTCCAATCTCCATGGAAACACCCGTCCCAAAGAGGGACGCAGATCCGATTCTCCGATCTCCCCGCAGATCCGACAGTTTAAAACAGGCGTCCGAACTCTTCATGGCCTTTGATTCAAATGGAGATGGAGGATGCCAAGGGATCCAAGGGATGGCTGGGCTGAACACAGATTTTAGATGTCGGTATCCATGGTGATTTAAAATATAGGGTATATATCACCATATATGGGATATAATATATGAGGATATTGATATATGGGATGATGGTGATATATATATATATTGTAATGCTGATTTTCATGATGGTTTAATGGTCACCAGGGTCATTTCAACATCACACGATTCGTCGCTCTGATGGCTCTGTTTGGGCTCTCTCTTCATGGCTCGCCAGGAATCAGCGAAATGGAATTCATGAAGGCCTTGTTCCCCTTGGATTATCGCCGCATCTACCGACGGATGTCCGGCATGACCTTCGGCGCTTGAGATTTTTAGCGCCGATGAATCATCGTAGCGCCTTCAGGGCGCAACGTTGGATGGATGAGTCAGAAGTAGGACCATGATAAATGGTGATAGCATGTGATAGTGGATGTTTTCTTCCAGGGCAATAAAATTCAATTCAGGATGCAGATCTTGAAAAACTTTAAAAGTTGAGCCATTGGAAACTCTGAACGCACGAATCTGCCCGGTGTTTCCACCATTACCAAATGGTGAATGGTGAACCAAGACACTGTGGCGACGGCGGCGAATGAACATCGACGAATTTGGAACAGTCTCGGCCGATGTTGGCCCCACCAAGTCTCGCTGAAAGTGAGATTTTGGTCGTGAATTGGGAATGGATTAACTTGGTAGTGAAATTGGTCGTGGCTATTTTTTTGTGAATTTTGGATCTGATGGCTCTGATTTTCTGATTTTTCGAAGTTTTTGACCCATTCCGTGGGGGCCGCAGAGCTCTATCTTTTCAGGGCCAAACTTGGAGATCGTTGTGAAAAAATGTGCGCGGCCGACGACTTCACCGGGAGCGCTTTTCGGGTGGATTCCTGTTGGAGAACATGGGTGTTACCATTTTCGGGGATTTACCCCCCAACCATAAAATCATGGGAACATGATCATCACTGAATTCTGTATCATTGATTTTCAAAACCCGCATTGATTTTCAGCCCTTCAAAACTGCGCTGTTTCAGTGTGAAAACTGCTACGAAAACCCCCATGATCAGGTCGGGGATCTCCCGGATCTTCGAGTCGTCCGCCGGGTGAAAGAAATCCTCTGCGTTTCACGTACTCTATGGATGTGGATACTGTATATATGTTACGCAAACACATACACACATTATTCTAATTCACATAATATATATATATATTCATATATGGTGTTTATATATAATTATTCATATATGGTGTTTATATAGATATATATATATATATATAATTATATATTACATAGATATTATATGAATATTACATATAGATATTATATGCACCTGTAGGCATATACTATACATGCTTTCACGATTTCTTTGCCAACAAATTCGGCTTTCGCCGGTGCCATGCATCGATCTTTGAATGTTGAGCTAGATGCGACCATAGCTGGTACATCAAAAAATTGGGGATTTGGGGCGGGGAATAACACTTATTATTACCTTATATTTTGGGGAATAAACATCCATTAACCAACTTTTTTCGTGTTTCTGGGGTGCCAGGCTTTTGACTCAGAACCATTTGACTCTCAAAGATAGGGATTTAAGTGATTCTGAGGTGGGTGAAGATTTGATTTTACCATTCACTGCTGTGTTTCGATGCTGGAAAATTCATGGGTAAATGATGACTCATGATGGGATTTTGTTGTAAAAGGAACGTTTTGCAATACCTCGTATGAATTGCATATAGGTACGTCTTTAGGCCTTTGGTCCTAAAAAGAATTGTGTACTGTGTACAATATTTTAGTGACAACGTGGGGTTTGCGCCTCCCCAGTTCCATCTCAGCTCAGCTGACGTTTGAAACGCCACCCGGAAACAACGACTTCAAAACCAGGATTTCGCCATTGTTCATGATGCAGATTTCACACACCCACAATATCAATACCATCACACATCCCACTAAACACACTTCACTCACCTTGTTCAAGATCACTCTGCTGCTTTGTCTACATGACTTGCCCTGAGTTTCTAATCTTCCAGAATTTCCCTTAGACTCCATTTCCAGCTTCTGTCCGTTACCGGTTCAAGATTAGACTTATGCCTTAATTTGTCAAGCTGACGAAGGCAGTGCGTGGAAGCAACTGTAGGACACGCACAGTTTCTGTCCAATTCTTGATAGGTGACGCAAAAATAACAAACAGTAACAAACAAATCAATGACAGTTGAGGCCGTTTTTTTCATTCCCAGTTTCGGATTTTGTGTGGACGGCCTTGGTTCTTCGGGAGGCCATTGCTTGATAGTTTGACCATGATGCCCTTGAGCAATGCATGGATTTCCCTCCCACAGGCTTGGGGAAACATGGAAACACGAATTGGAGCCCTAAACCCTGGTGCCATTGGTTGGGAGTGTCATTTCTAGAGTGTATCCCAGGATTGGATTTTCATTTTCAGGCGTCGTTTACCACGTCTTGGAAGGGACATTTCAGTCAGCTTCAATCTTTGTTGCATCACTACAGGATCCCTTACATGACATAACATGCACGCTGACCGTGTCATCCGAGCTGCCAGGTGCCTCCAGCAGTTGGGCCAACTTTGGCGAACAGGTGAGCCAATGGGTCCCATATGTCCCATGCTGGGTGGGGTGAAACCAACCAGGAAGATTTGGGCTCTGAAAACTTGATCTTGAAGTCTTGGGCATGGATTGTTCTGATTCCTGGGTGATCCCAGAATTGTTGAAACGAAGATGACATCATCGCTCTGATTTTTGTCCCAAAAGCACTACCAACACTTGAAAACAAGCCGACATCCAAAATGACGGACCAACCAATGCTCCAGGTATGGCACCAGAACCGTGGCTCGAAGGGCGACCAAGACCTCCAAATCCATGAGCTCGGAACAGTGGAAGCTCGAGTTGAGGGTAACAACCCCATAGCCTCCCACATATCATATATTTTCACGTATTTTTTTCATATTTACATGAGGATGTCTTGGTTAAATGATGTTAAATGATGTTAACTCCATCTATTTTTGAGTGTGAACCCTCTATCTTTGCTGCTTCAAATCGCTAAATTTTTTGCTGCCGAAGTCACCATCAAAAGCCATCGGTTTTTCCTCTCTAGGACTCCGCTGCCCGGGCCCACGGCCGTGCCCTTTCTGGGCGCCCTATCAGTGCGGGGCCACGGATTCCACAGATGTGGAAGATCATCTCAGATTACCCTCTGGTAAACTAACATAACTATGGAAAATCACAATTTATAGTGGATTTTCCCATGAAAAATGGTGATTTTCCATAGTTATGTTCGTTTACCAGAGGGTATTTTTTGGGGGGCCCACGATTTCACCAATTTCACCCGATCATTGCAGTTGAGTGGACTGTTTGATGCGAAGGCAGTGGTTGTTCAATGGTTTGAAGACCAATAAACGCGCCCAATTTGCGCAAATCTCCAGGACACATCTTTTGAGTTTTCACAGGGACCACATCAGAAAAGAAAAAGGTACATCATCGTGTTGTTGACTTGATACCTCCGTAGCCATGGAATTCTCTCCTGCCAAGAATCAGCAACATTAAACCACCAGGTGTTTCAACATGTTTCAACCACATTAAACACCATTGGAGGTGCTTAAACACAACATTTAACACCACATCACCACATTAAGTACCTTTAAACACCATTAACACCAGGTGTTTCAACACCACATTTCAGCCACGTCCACTATGTCTTGGCGTGTGTCTTGGCGACATCGCCGGCTGGACTCAGGTGATTTGGGCCCTGATCCGTGGCAAGTCGTTGTTGCAGGTGCTTAGCGAACAACGGAGAAAGCATGGGCCTCTTGGATACCTTGGAGCGGGCACCACAGGGCTAGAAACGGCGAGGAAACGGGGCTAGAAACGGTGGGAATGGATGCCAACATGTTTTCTTTGTGTTTTTAACACAGAAAAAGAACAGTGTTTTTGAGGATACTTGAATATTATTGAATATTGTTGTTTCAGTTTGAACCTTTGAACTTAGGATCCCAACAGCCAAAACAGTGCTTTGCCGGGCAAAAAATGGAGGCATTCTCCGTCCCGCCCACAAAGGTTATGGGTATATGCCGTATTATGCTGTACAAATCCATCGTTTTTGCATACTCAGCCTATTCCATCCTTGGTGGTTGTATTCGAACCTATCTAATCCTATCTATGTCTACATCTTGGATCACATCAGTGTACATCCCCAGATTGATCCATCCATTCTTTGGCTATCTACCCAGCTGTTGGCGATACAGTCACATCTGTTGACTCAAGGCTCTTGAGCCAAACATTGACTTATTGAATGGTTCAAGAAAAATGAATAAACATTACCTTCAGTTTATTTTAAACTTGTTGACTTGTTGCTAAAAAATAAGCCAACGTCTTTGCCGTGCCAAGGCCCATCTTCCTCTTGAAGCTGGGACCCTCCAAACAAGTCTGGGTGAGTCCTGAAAAGTTGAGCAAAGTCTATGAGCTGCCGCAGTGTGCGGGGCGCCCTGCGAGTTTCAAAGATCCCTTTGGCGACTTTCTGTTTCTGGTGCGCGATCCCAAGGCGGGAAGTGATGGCGATGGTGAGCTGAAATGCTGACGCATTTCGTATCATTTCGTGCCATGTCAAGTGTTTCCTTAGGGCCCCCATCACCACCTCATGGTACCCCCATCCAAATTGGATAGTTTTGGGTTCGAAACGAATTGGTTTTGCCACCATTTGGGACATGTCCAGCCAGCTTTCGCGCCATGACCAGGACGCCCAACCCCTGCGGGAGAAGCAAAAGGCATGGCTGGAGAAGAATTTGGATGCTGCAAAGAGTCTTGGGTCTGGTATGCGTCAATATGTGTCAAAATAATGAGTAATTACCGGGGTTTCAGTGTTCTGTACTATTTTCGGGGGTTACATGTGGGTACCCACTCTTATACCTGCAATCAACTATCGATGTGAAACATGGGAAACTGAGTTCACCCTTAACCTGGTCAATCCTGTCAATGTTTGCACCCACAGACATGGGTAACCGCTGCGAACATGGAGATTGTGGTACATATTCTTTCAAAATTTGATGACTGTATACTTTGTGCCTGCCTTGATGATAGAGGGCACCCACGAAGACTATTATAGAAAACAAGGTTAATCATGTTCTTTGGAGCGCCAGAGCATCTGGATTTTAAGAAGTTTCGTTCCCGCGCACAAAGAGGGGACTTTTCGGCCATGTCCATGTGGCCCGCAGAATCCAAGGATTCAAGAAGCTGCAAAGTCAGCTCTGGAAAAACACGCCAGCAACTCAGTCGCTGTTGAGCTTCACCATTGCATCGAGGGTTTTTTCACCTCATCCTCCTAGTGAGAAGCCAACAAAGAAAGGCCATCTAAGCCAGTTTCTGGGTGGTTTCCCCTCAAGAAAAGCTGGATTCCAAATTGTTGGCATCCAGTTCAGCTTCAAGAAACCACTTATATATATATTTATGATATATATATAATTATATATATAACTATATAAATATATATTTCCCTATTTAAGGGAGTATATAAATCAGTCCCCATTTTCAGGTACCAAACCCACATATCACGTTGCTTATATATATAATATCCCATGATATCCACGTATCACGGTTGGTTTTCCTTCAGGATGGCTCCACTCAGGTCTGGCCAGTGCTGGACTCTCAGGAGCTCCAGGCCCGAAGTGGGAAAAAGCCAGTGGGAAAGGAGCCTTGGCTCCATGCATTTTAAAAAACCTTAGTATATCTTAGATGTATAATATATATATATGATATATATATATGATATATATATGATATACATTTATGATATATATATATATGTATATTGATTCTATTGTGTATATATGTATATATGAGATATCTAATCCATATGATTTTTGAATGTCTTGAAGTCCACTTTGGTGAAACCAGCAATGATGCTTCCCGTCCAGGCATTTCCAGAGGAGGCCCTTCGAGTGGCGACTTATTCGGCCGTGTCCACAGAGTCTCGGACGGCACTTCACGGGCTGATGGAGATTTTTTCATTTATTGAACACGGATAATTTTTGTATTTGCAGACTACTTCTCACTAGAATATAAATCTAAATATATAAATACAAATAAATAATAAATAAACAGATTATAATTATATATTAATATTATCCGCTACAAATATCCGCTATATTTATCAATAAATGCTATGAATCTTATGCTCCACTAGACAAATCGCGGAGGCGCTGCTGGGCACTGCCGAGCTGGGTGAGGGCGAGCTGGAACGCTTGATGGCGGCCACGCGGGAGTATAGCGAGATGCGGGTGAAGGGCAAATTCGGGCGTGGCTCAGGCGGGGTCCCGGATGGAGGTGCTGGAAATTGGATGTGAAATTGACCATGAAAATCCTGAGGATTGGATTTGGCGTGTTCTTTTTTTTTGCCTTTGTGTTTTGTTTTTTTCCTCGAAAGCATCCACATTTTCGTGGCTTTACGATCATATTCTGTTATTTCGTGGCAATTTGTATTGGGCTATTCCTCATTTTGAGACCCAGGTTACTTTGGTGGATTCTGAAGGGTGGAGTTGGGAAAGTCTGGAAAACCAATGTGACTTTGAGAAGTGATGAGGTTTCACTCTTCTGATGCAATGTTGTTATTTTTTTCGATGCAACTCCCCTCCAAGAAATCTCAGTTAATTTCTGGTAAACAAAACTGCGAGTTGTTTGCTTTTCGTATGCTAGCTCGCAGAACTCAGCATCACCATCCAAGCCCACCGGGCCCGAGCAGCCCTGCGGCGACGGACGGAGCTCCACTCACACAAGACAGCGTCGCAGCGGCAAACTGCGGTCCTCTGGGAGCAGTAATTCCTCCCGCACTTGACTGGTGGTTTGGTGGGTCGGCAGGGGCTACAACCTCATGGTCACCTGAGCGCCGGGCATCACATCAGTCATCTTTTGACATTTTGCCCACCTTTTGGCCGCCATCGTTCTGGAAGTCAGCTTCGACGCGCCGATTGACTCGCGCCTTCTGCTATCTTTTGTTGATATTCTGAATTCATTTTACTTTTTTGCAACCAGGCCTCAATGGCCGGTGCCTATCGGCTCATTCTCCCCCGTCCACTTCGGTTTTTTGACTGGGGGATTTCATTTCGGAAGGCTGTTTGCTTTCCCCCTGTTTTCCCCGGCTTTTGAGCCCAGATCTTCCGACGGATTCGGCCGCACGGGTCCAGTCCTCTAGCAATTGATACTGTACTCTCAGTTGTTCTTTCCGATTTCAAGTTGAATATCCCACGGATATATCCCACAGATATCCCATAGATATCCCATAGATTTCCCATAGATATATCCCATAGATTTCAACCCATAGATTTCCCACAAAATCCAAGACCATCCGATGGTCACGCCAGGGGACGAACTGCCGCCTGGCGCAGCAGAGATCAAAGAGATCGTGGAGGTGCGCCGAGCATCCGAGCATCCGAGGCGATCCCAGAAAGCGATGCGGAATTTTGCTGAATTTATGGAATTGATAGATATTTCCCATAGATATCCATAGCCAATGGAATTTATGGGATATCTATGGATGATATATATATATGGGAAATCTATGGATATATCTGATATATCTGTGGGAGTCCGTGAATGCACTGAGTTTTCATGTTAGCAGTGTCATAAACAACTTAAACGCAGTGCGGTGCCTAAACTGTCTGGTGCACCGCCCTGATCGAACAGCAAAATGCAGACAAGAATCTAATAGATGGCTAAGTCTAGAAGACAAATGAAAGCATCGTTCACCGATGCTATCTGTGGGATATGAAAAGATGAGGTTTATAGGATGATATCTATGGAATTCTGATGAATTCTGTGGATTTGAAAGCTGCAATGCATCTAATACAGATCTGAAATTTGAGTTTGTTGACATGCATGTTAAAATGTATCTTAGACATAGTTGGACTCCACAAAAGGTCGAATTTTACACCAAAGTTGACATATTATTACCCTTATCTTTTTTCGGGGGTCTTTTAGTGAAGGTCAAGAATCAAGTTTATAACCGTCTCCGGTGTTTTCCGCAGTTCTTTTTTTCACCGCACCATCTACAAGTAAAGTATCTAGTTTTAGACAAATCCATAGCCGTTTCTGGTCAAATCCCCTTTTTTGGTCGATCAAGCTCTGACTTTCCACTGAATTTTTTGGTTCAATCCCAAGTTTGGTGGGTGGCGGTGACGATCCCGGTTTTCCTTTCGTTGCCTAAATCAAAGCATCACCATCATTCTGATTGCTTGCAACACCAAGTTTTTTGGTTGTGAAGATCCGAACCTATTCCAAGATTTTCTCGGTCAATTTCGGATTTTCGTTTATGCCATCCCAAACAAAAAATCAGAATTTTACTTGTTCTGTTATGATCCACATAGAATTCGGGAACTTCCAGCCACCACATGGTTTCTTCTTGAAAGTAATTCCAGATTTTGGTTTGAAAAACGTCCTAAGTTGTTGGTTTCGTCTCCAACAAATCCTCGATGTCCATCGAGAAAATGGTGAAAAAACGTGATTTTTCCCAGCTCAGCTGCTTTGATGACACAGGAGGGCCTCAGGAGGGTGTTTTTTTAATCCATTCATGTCCTGTTTTTATCCTATCCCAGTATTATCCCATTCATATCCCCTTATATCATCCCCATAGGTCAAACATACATCCCAATTACCATCTGGTTATTTAACATAGCCATGGAACATCACCATTTTTAAGAACGGTAAACCATCTATTTCTATGGGCCATCTATACCATGGCGAACTGTTAAATAACCAGAGGGTATTCCAATGATATTCCAATATAGTCCCATTATTCACCATTATTAATCCATTGCTAATCCATATGGGAAAAATTGGGATCATATTATCATTAATAGTTAACAATGATGAACATATATGATTTGGTAGTAAATCCCATTTATTGTTATTAACATATGCCCAAATAGTTAATCCCATGAAATGATATTCACCCAATTATCCCAATTATCCCAACTATCCATTATATCTCAATGATTCCAATGAAGGGTAAAAAATAATCCATTGCTAATCCATATCCCAATCACAGCCCAAATCATCTCCCATTTTTTACCAGGCGGCCATTGCTCGCTCCAGCCGTGAAGATGTGGTGCTGCCGTTGATGGTTGCGGCCTCCGTCGGCGGCGCGGAGCGATGGGGTGTTCATGGGGTGCGTTTTGGCTTAGCCACAAGAGTTGTAGGTAGTTGTGGTTAATATCAATGGATTGGTTTAAGGGAAAATCTACAGGAAACCATAGATTTTCCCATTAAATATGGGGCTTTCCTGTAAATTTTCCCTATTCCAGTGATAATAGTGTTATATTAGGAGGTTTCCTGAAATAGGGCTACCCCCAAATCATCCATTTTAGTAGGATTTTCCATGAAATAAACGATGGGGGTACCCCCATTCCAGGAAACCACCATATAATTGATAGGTGAATGATTTACAATCAATCTATTGGGAGTTTGGCCAGACATAGTCAGGGACTTAGCATTGGGATGTCGCCAATATTTTTGAATACATTTTGCTTGATGGGAAATCACCAATTTATGGACAATTGCCCACAAAGTTAGACCCTGGTTTGGTGGGTTAAAGGGGTTACAGTATTTTTGTCGCAAGCGGGGTGACAGGAAACTCCAATCTTAGGCTTCCCGTCCCGCAACGGGCTTTGGCTTGGGAAGTCTAAGGTCTAGGCGGTTTGTGAAAAATCGGAATCCCATGAAAGAACTGGTTCTAGATCAGCTGATAACCTCACTTGAGATATCATGATATCATGCCTAAACATGTGGAAATATGTGGACGTTTTTTGCTGATCACTCTAGGCCATATCTGAAGCCGTCCTTTTCAGGATGGCTTCAGATGATCTCCTTCCGGTAGCTGACGACAGGAGATCTTCCCCACCTTGCTCCATTGGATGTTGATCTTCTTCGCCTCCCATCCAACGGAGCAGGCCGAAATTTGACCGATGACTCAGCCGATGGTAGGATCGCCGATTGAAGGCTCCGATTTCAAGTGAGAGAAAAGCATCGGCCTTGCATTTTTCAGTCGTTGATATTTTCATGATTCCAAGAACATCAAGAACATGGTACAGGAAGTGCTTTTGCTCAAGAAGGGTAAACAGCCATCTTGAATCCATGCAGTGAACCATGCATCATCAAGTATGTTAACAATTCCATTTGGCAAAGACTGACACTGTACCCCTTTTTCTCCGTGAGTCATCCCACTTACTAAGCAAGTTATATCCCTGCAGATAAGTGGGCTATTTTGCGTAGCAGGGTTGACTCCCTGCCTCCATCACTGTAGCAGGGTGACCCTCTGCTAATCAAATATGGCAATGGCACATCCACCATTTATAGATGATGTTCCCACTTGCATGCCCATTTATAAATGGGGGATTTTCCCATGGATTTTCCAGTGATTTTCCATGTTTGATGACCTCCAGAAATAGTCCGCTGCTTTTCCCGTAAAAAACCACCATTCGAAACGCGATTTGATACGGTGGATGGTTGGCGAAATCCTACACCAGTTGAAAACGGTGGTTTAGATCCCATGATTTCTAGGGTTTCAACATGTTTCAACCATCCGTTTGGTGATGCAGGATTTCTTCCATCCACAGTACCACTAAACCCCATGTGTTTCTTCGTGTGATCCGGCGTCCTGCCCTTGGAGGCGGCTGCTGCCTCGGCTGCGAAGAGCAATGACCGAGAGCAGCTACTGAAAGCCATCTATGGAAACCCGGATCTGACCTGATCTGACTGGACATCTATGGGATTTATATCATGGGAATATCATGAATGGGGCATATTTATAAGTATGATGTATGATGTCATGAATGGGGCATATTTATATCATGATTATATATATCTATATTATGAGTAGTATTCTGATGCATGATGTTTTCCTGTAGTTAAGCATGGCTGGGAAATCCCCGTAGCCATGGAGCGGATTCCCAGAGGTTTCAGAGGACAGTTGAAAGGTTCAACTAACCATCAATGTGGGGATAGTTAATAACTGATACATGATGTTTAGCAGTGGCTGCAAACACACCAGTTAATACAAGATATTAACTATCCCCAGTTTATCAGTTCCAGTATATAGTTATCATACATGATATTAACCCTGATACTAACCCAAACAAGGACCAGTGGCTGCAAACACACCCCTTTTGGTTGAGATTAGTTCGGGGATTGTGCTACCCTTTGTACATTGGGGATTATCATAATGTATCAACTGGGAACCTCGTGCTTAACCAATGAATATATTTTAAGCATTTTAAAGCTTTCTTGTTTCTACCACCAGAGTAGAAATGAGAGTTTGACCAACAGAAACGATCGACGCCATGCCCCAACGGTTTCAGGACACGCTCAGCATCAAATTCTTAGCCCCAGAATTGGATGATTTCACCAGGCGGTTTCTAGAGATTTTCCATCAAAAAATACCATAGGACCATTGAAACCATGTTGAGTTTCCCCCTTCTCCCATGATATTTCCATATATTTCCATGAATTATCCCACAATTTCCCCCAAAAAAACCCATTTGATCCCCAAGGAGCTCTCCGCAGCCGCGCCTATTCGGTGGCCTTGGGGCCTCCTCGGAAGGTCCTGGCTGATGCAGTGGTGGCCACTCGGCGATGCGATGATTCAGCGTTTCTGCGGCGTTCCCCACGTGTTTTTTCGGACAAAACAGGTGGTTTTTTCCCATGTGTGGAATCAATGATTCTGATCTTTTACAAACGTATTTCTGAAAGAAAGGGCTGTGGTGGTTTATACGCAAGGTTCCAAGTGGGGATTGATTCACGACAAAGATGGGGGTGGTTGATCGCCAACGAACACGGTGACTTTACTACCAAGTATTTAAGGTTTGAATGGGTTTGATTGTTATTCACTTCCCCAAATCGCAAGAACCCCCCAATACCAAACCATGGCTCTAGTAATTATTGGATCTAGTGATTTCAGGCCACCAGTTAGGGATAGTTTGGGTGGGTTTATTGTTTGGTGGATACTGGATCTCTATTTCAGAAATGCATAGTTTGGTTGGTTTGCATCCCAATAAACCACCAGATATCAGAGAGATACTTGGGGCTGCAGTTCCAGTTGGAAGTGGACATAAAGTCACAGTCGTGGGGGCCCCATATCCCAACTTCTCGGGGTTGAAATCCCATTAAAATCTCCCTCAACTGCACCCCCAAGTAGGTTATACTCCGTTATTTCCCCCTGATATTCCCGTCAAATCCCATTAGATTTCCGGATTCCCATGATATTCCCAGTAAATCAGAGTTCTAGATGCTTGAAGTCTTCATTTGATCATCCCCCTGACCATGTCCTCCCAAGGAGGATATGCTGATCCCCGAGGGAGCGTTGCTTTTCGCCATGCACCCTGCGGTGGTGGACGATGCACTGGGAAGGACGCAGCTTGCGCCGGAGGCGCGGAGGGGAGTTTCACCAATGGGAAGATAGGTGCCATGTGGTGCCATGTGCCCGCTACTTAGCGGAGTTGGTTTTTAACTTGGTTAAGTGTTGGCTTTGTGGGGGGTATAACATGGTATAACTATGTATAACTGCAGTTAATGGGGTATTTATGAAGCCACTTCTAACCGGGGGGCCTGACCTTGTAGGTAGCAAAAGCATGGGGGTTTCAATCAACATGTGATATAAACTGTCCAAAACTTGGACAAGTTGAGAGGATTCATGATATGGTGTCTGTCACACCAGTTATACCAGGCCGCTCACAGGAGGTTGAGTGGTTGGGTATAAGATGTATACTATTAGGGCAACCCCAAAATAGATGGGCGCGGTGTCTATATTTTTAGGGGTTGCTAGAAATGGGAGTCAACACGCAAAATATCCAACTTTGTGGTTCAAAGAATTTCAGACTGTTTCCACACTTCCATAAATAATGCGATGGACTTTGCATCCCACACAACTTGGGTAACTTATAATTAATTTTGATTTACCCTAAATCCATCATCATATCCCAAGTGTTGTTGGTTAAATGTTGGTCATTGCTTGCATTTATACATGTTAGTATGCAAATGTACTTAGTTTCTCTATCCCTCAGTTTTGTTGGCAGCAGTTTCCAAGAGTTGGCGGATTTGTATACTAGATTTTGTTTGTTTCTTCCCTTGTATGATCCCATAGATATTGGTAAATCGTGTCCAGCTTACCAATATGTGTATAAACGTAGGACATAAACTGTGCACATAGGGGCCGGTTTGGTAAACAATATGGTAAACGTTTATATAACAAATCGTTTCATGTTTATCATTCCCAGTCATGGGTGGTTTATGACATTGTTTTACCCACATTATAGATAATTATATACTAATTGATATATTAGATTTTCCCAGATTTTCCAAATTTCCAATGATTGTCCATATTGATTGTCCATACATATATATATATAGATACACCCTCTGGTTATTTAACATAGCCATGGAAAATCCATTACAAATGGAGGTTATCAGCTGGGAAAATCATCTATAAATTGGCCATTTCCCATAGCTATGATAAATAACCAGAGGGTATATATGTATATATATATACACAACAATAATGGATGATCAATGGATGCTGAATGGATTGTCAATGGATAAATAGTGGATTTACCCTTTCTGATCAATAATGCATAATTAATACATATATGGATTAATCCATTTTTACAATCCATTTTTACAATCCATTTTTACAATCCATTAAGTATCGATATGGATTAATGGATAACTAATTAGAATGGATCATTATCAACGGATTGTCAATTAATGGATTTACCCACATATTATTTCCCTTTCTGTTTCCCTTTCTGTGCACCTCAACGACCCCACAGGACGACTTCCAGAGCTACGCTTTCGGCGTTGGCCCCCGCAGCTGCCTGGGGAAGCCGGTGGCCGAAGCGAGCCTTGACCCAGTTTTACGGGGAAGTTCGGATGGCTTCAACGGGAAACATGCGGAAAACTGAGGTTTAACTGACCTTAACTGGAAAATCAATAGGTGGTTTTAAGCTTCAAAAATGAGGATTTCCATGGGAATTTGGGGGCAGTTTAGTAAGTTTAGGCCATGAGTTTTGGCCATTTTTGGTTTGGGGATCAAGCTGGAAGGCCAACTAGGCCAACTGGCTGGAACTCACCAGCATTGGACACCAGGATCCTCCCCGCGGTGCTGGGCGCAATCCTGCAACGTTACGAGTTGGGCGGTGGAGTGGAGCTGAAGGATGTGGAAGGTGAAGTGCAACTCGGCGAAGTGGCGACCTTGACCCCTAAAAAATGGCGACTTGTTTACTGGACCCAGGGATGCAATGTGGGAAAGCTAGTAACTAAATAAACCTCTGTTGGGATGGTGACTATGGCATTGGGTGAATCGCTATCCTCACTGGTTGCCGTTCAAGTGACCACGATCGACCCAGGAAGGGACAGCTGATTCGCCCCAAAGCCTCCCCAAAGATGCGCTGGCAGCGGCGGGACGGCGCCTGAGGAAAAGATAAGCGGTGCCCGGTTGAGGAGATCAACATCTACAGCCATGGATCCAGAAGAATTGTTGAAAGTATCCAGTAAATCACCTGGCAATTGTTGACTAACCAATGACATTTAATGAGATACCAACTTGAGAAAAGTAAATCTGGATGATACTTGTGTTGACACTTCAGAAAGATAGGAATGAAGACTGCAGACACATTCATCAACAGACCTGAGATTCATCTGTCCTGGAAGCCTTGGCTCTAAACTAGACATGTCCCGCGTTAAAGCTGACATGAAAGCCCTAATGGCCGTGGGATCAGAAGATGATTTTGTAGGTTACTATCCCAGAAATGGCTATGGTTTTCAGTTTTGAGGGTGAGTTCCCAAGAAAATACTGAACAGCAGGCCTTTCACCCCAAGAGGCTTGCTGCAAGATGGCCTTTCGAAACAACTGTTTCTGGATCTCGCGAATAGGGGTGAACGTCATACTCAGCACAGATCCTCATGATGTAGCCACATGTAGCCATTCTTAAAGATACTCCCTTTTCTGTTCCGAACAGCAATCAGCAGCATCATTTCCATGAAAATCCCACGAAAATCGGATGTCAAAGTCCATCCAGATCACTGATGTGGGCTTCGTGCTTCCCATCTCCGACACGGCCTGTGGGGCGGCCGCAGCACGGCCGGAGACGCGGCTGTGGAAGATGAGGATTTCTTTGGCAGATGGTGACCCACAAAATGCTGATGAAACTGGGGATATTATGGGATATTTATATTGGATTCCTTAAGAACAATTAGTGGTCCTGAGGGTCGAACTGTTGGGGGATGGCAAAATCTGCGTTTGTCGTAAGTGTTGATATGGCATCACAATGCATCACACAAAAATGACCGTTCTTCAGGTAGTGACAGCTATTCGTTATGGTGCAGAAACCGATCTTGGTGGAATTCCCACAATGCAAATCAAAGGAGCAGCAGGTGCTCCAAGATTTCTGGATTCCAATTTGAGAAAATCAAACCATCCAAGCATTGCAGGGGCGTGACCTCCGGTGAAAATACAAACACATCACCATGTTCTTAGGCATGTACGGTCAAAAGCGGGGATGTTGCATAGACGGAACTTAATTCTTGCTACTTAACTATAAGTCAAGGTATTCTAGACCCATCAAGGACACGGATTTGTCATTTGTAGACCCTCTGGTATGGGCTGGAGACTTCCCATGTTTCGCATGTATCATTCTTTCAGCATCTTTCAGCCACGTTTGACCAGAGGCTATTTAACTATTTCCATGTATTTCCTAAAGCTGGAGAACTTCATACCTTAGTATATCCCCATGTTTGCTGCTTAAACCCCATATTTTCATCCCAGACTTTTTCAAGAGAAACTCTGCAGAAAAAGAACATGATGGGATCATAGCAATGGTTTCCTGAGTCCATAACCCAATCCACTGATTTTAGTAGAGAGATACCCTCTGGTAAACGTTTACATAGCTATACATAGCTATGGAAAATCACCATTTTTAATGGGAAAATTACCAGAGGGTAGTAGAGAGATACACCATAGTTCACCTTTCACACAGGGTGCCAGATCATTGGGTCGACCATCACCATCCCATGCGGCGCCCAAGGACCCCTACGTGCTCTTCAAGTCGCAGCGCGTCACTGTGGGGCAGCGCCCTCCAGAGGGAAGGCATCGAAAGGCAGCCGCCCATGCGAGCCAGCCAACCTTTCCAGGCTGGGAGGTTTATACTTGACAGAAATGGGGATGTTTGGGAGTTTCATGAAATCAATTTTGGGGACAAACATTTTTCTGATTCTTGGTTTTGCAGTATACTATACTATACTGTACTACACAAACAAAAATGGGTTTCATGAAATCTTGAGAGTTCAAGAGACAGAGCATTTTTGTTTGGATTTGGCAGAATGTCAGCAACAAAACGACCAGTTAAGAATGGTATTATATATATAATGTTTACATATACATATATATATATTACATAATATTATTATTATATATGTATGATATACGTATACTGAGTATAGTATACTGCAAAACCAAGAATCAGAAAATGCTTGTCCCCAAAAATCCGAGAGTTTCGCGGCTCCCACCCCACGATTTTTCCGGACGGCGCTGCACCGTGCCGTAGCCTCGCAGGTCCCTTCCTGGTGTCCTTCGGCGGCCCCAAAGATGCGGAGCAGCTGTCGGTGGAACTGTGGAACCGCTCCAGCGATGAGAGGCTGCAGCAGGTGGGGAAGGTTCTCAGCCAAAGTGGGTGACTTAACTATCTATACCTATCTATACCTATCTATACCTATCTATACCATCTATACTCACAGGGCCCACGACCCCCCCCAGCAAAACCCCCCCCAGAAGTATGGTAAGGTATGGATAAGGATGAAACGGTTGATAAGGGCCAATCAGTGGTGTAACACATTCTTAATAAATGCTTATTAGCGATTTGTGGTTAAGGGCTGAATAAGGTCTTGATAAGACATGGCTTTTCCCAATAAAATTGAAATTTCACTATTTAGAGCCTTATTAAGAAAAATCTTGTTTTTGGGGGTGTTGTCCAACCAACAAGACAAAAAAAAAAAACTGTATTAAACCTTTAATAAGAATAGTGCATTCCAAAACCAATTTTAGCACCAATAAATCACACAACCTTAATAACAGTTTATTAAGGAACTCTGATTTCTGACACTGCTCATGTGCGTTTGACAAAATATGGGAGTTGGACAGAATTCGAAAGGTTTGCTGTTTCTGGTTCAGAGAGTTGCAATGAGCAACCAAGCTCAGCTATTTTATCGATTTTGAAACCAGATCTTAAGATTTTGTTTTGCTTTTTTTGTGCTTATTTTTTGCTTTTTTCTTTTTTTTTGCATGTGTGTTCATTTTTTTGTTTTTTTCTTTTGCTTTTTTCTAATTTAGGTTTGGATTGGGTTTTGCTTTTCTTTTTTCGGGGTTTTGAAACATCCCACTGGACAACAGTTAAAAAACTTTCGATAAGGTCAGAATAAGGGCTTGATAAGGGCTTGATAAGGTCTGAATAAGGGCTTGATAAGGGGTTGATAAGGGGTTGGGTCAATGTATTGGAATGAGATTAAAAGATTTTTTTTTGGTGCTTATGTTTTGCCTTTGTTTTGCTTTTTTTGTGCTTATTTGTTGTTTTTTCTCTTTTTTTGCATGTGTGTTCATTTTTGTTGTTTTTTTTCATTTGTTTTTTTCTAATTTAGGTTTGGATTGGGTTTTGCTTTTCTTTTTTCGGGGTTTTGAAACATCCCACTGGATAACAGTTAAAAAAGATTTCGATAAGGTCTGAATAAGGGCTTGATAAGGGCTTGAGAAGGCTTGATAAGGGCTTGATAAGGGCTTGAGAAGGGGTTGATAAGGGGTTGGATCAATGTATTGGAATGAGATTTAGAAGATTTTTTTTTGGTGCTTATGTTTTGCCTTTGTTTTGCTTTTTTTGTGCTTATTTGTTGTTATTTCTCTTTTTTTGCATGTGTGTTCATTTTTGTTGTTTTTTTTTCTTTTGCTTTTTTCTAATTTAGGTTTGGATTGGGTTTTGCTTTTCTTTTTTCGGGGTTTTGAAACATCCCACTAAATAACAGTTAAAAAAGAAGGTCTGAATAAGGGCTTGATAAGGGCTTGATAAGGGCTTCATAAGGGCTTGATAAGGGCTTGATAAAGGGTTGATAAGGGGTTGGATCAATGTATTGGAATGAGATTTAAAAGTTTTTTTTTGGTGCTTATGTTTTGCCTTTGTTTTGCTTTTTTGTGCTTATTTGTTGTTTTTTTCTCTTTTTTTGCATGGGTGTTCATTTTTGTTGTTTTTTTTTTCTTTTGCTTTTTTCTAATTTAGGTTTGGATTGGGTTTTGCTTTTCTTTTTTCGGGGTTTTGAAACATCCCACTGGATAACAGTTAAAAAAGATTTCGATAAGGTCTGAATAAGGGCTTGATACGGGCTTGAGAAGGCTTGATAAGGGCTTGATAAGGGCTTGATAAGGGGTTGATAAGGGGTTGGATCAATGTATTGGAATGAGATTTAAAAGATTTTTTTTTGGTGCTTATGTTTTGCCTTTGTTTTGCTTTTTTGGTGCTTTTTTGTTTTTTTTTCCTCCTCTTTTTTTGCATGTGTGTTCATTTTTGTTGTTTTTTTTCTTTTGCTTCTTTCTAATTTAGGTTTGGATTGGGTTTTGCTGTTCTTTTTTCGGGGTTTTGAAACATCCCACTGGACAACAGTTAGAAAAGATTTCAGTAAGGTCTGAATAAGGGCTTGATAAGGGCTTGATAAGGGCTTGATAAGGGGTTGATAAGGGGTTGGATCAATGTATTGGAATGAGATTTAGAAGATTTTTTTTTGGTGCTTATGTTTTGCCTTTGTTTGGTTTTTTTTGTGCTTATTTGTTGTTTTTTTTCCCTCTTTTTTTGCATGTGTGTTCATTTTTGTTGTTTTTTCTTTTGTTTTTTTCTAATTTAGGTTTGGATTGGGTTTTGCTTTTCTTTTTTCGGGGTTTTGAAACATCCCACTGGACAACAATTAGAAAAGATTTCGGTAAGGTCTGAATAAGGGCTTGATAAGGGCTTGATAAGGGGTTAATAAGGGGTTGGATCAATGTATGGGAATGAGATTTATTTTTTTATTTTTTGGTGCTTATGTTTTGCCTTTGTTTTGCTTTTTTTGTGCTTATTTGTTGTTTTTTTTTCCCTTTTTTTTGCATGTGTGTTCATTTTCGTTGTTTTTTTTCTTTTGCTTTTTTCTAATTTAGGTTTGGATTGGGTTTTGCTTTTCTTTTTTCGGTGTTTTGAAACATCCCACTGGACAACAGTTAGAAAAGATTTCGGTAAGGTCTGAATAAGGGCTTGATAAGGGCTTGATAAGGGCTTGATAAGGGCTTGATAAGGCCGTGATAAGGGGTTGATTAGGGGTTGGATCAATGTATTGGAATGAGATTTAAAATATTTTTTTTTGGTGCTTATGTTTTGCCTTTGGTTTGCTTTTTTTGTGCTTATTTGTTGTTTTTTTCTCTTTTTTTGCATGTGTGTTCATTTTTGTTGTTTTTTTTCTTTTGCTTCTTTCTAATTTAGGTTTGGATTGGGTTTTGCTGTTCTTTTTTCGGGGTTTTGAAACATCCCACTGGACAACAGTTAGAAAAGATTTCAGTAAGGTCTGAATAAGGGCTTGATAAGGGCTTGATAAGGGGTTGATAAGGGGTTGGATCAATGTATTGGAATGAGTTTTAAAAGATTTTTTTTGGTGCTTATTTTTTGCCTTTGTTTTTCTTTTTTTGTCCCTTTTGTTTTTTTTCCTCCTCTTTTTTTGCATGTGTGTTCATTTTTGTTGTTTTTTTTTCTTTTGCTTTTTTCTAATTTAGGTTTGGATTGGGTTTTGCTTTTCTTTTTTCGGGGTTTTGAAACATCCCACTGGACAACAGTTAGAAAAGATTTCGGTAAAGTCAGAATAAGGGCTTGATAAGGGCTTGATAAGGGCTTGATAAGGGGTTGATAAGGGGTTGATAAGGGGTTGGATCAATGTATTGGAATGAGATTTAAAATATTTTTTTTTGGTGCTTATGTTTTGCCTTTGTTTTGCTTTTTTCGTGCTTATTTGTTGTTTTTTTTTCTCTTTCTTTGCATGTGTGTTCATTTTTGTTTTTTTTTTCTTTTGCTTTTTTCTAATTTATATAGGTTTGGATTGGGTTTTGCTTTTCTTTTTTCGGGGTTTTGAAACAGTGGGACAACAGTTAGAAAAGATTTCGGTAAGGTCTGAATAAGGGCTTGATAAGGGCTTGATAAGGGCTTGATAAGGGGTTGATAAGGGGTTGGATCAATGTATTGGAATGAGATTTAAAAGATTTTTTTTTGGTGCTTATGTTTTGCCTTTGTTTTGCTTTTTTCGTGCTTATTTGTTGTTTTTTTGTTCTCTTTCTTTGCATGTGTGTTGATTTTTGTTTTTTTTTCTTTTGCTTTTTTCTAATTTATATAGGTTTGGATTGGGTTTTGCTTTACTTTTTTCGGGGTTTTGAAACATCCCACTGGATAACAGTTAAAAAAGATTTCGATAAGGTCTGAATAAGGGCTTGATAAGGGCTTGGTAAGGGCTTGATAAGGGCTTGATAAGGGCTTGATAAGGGCTTGATAAGGGGTTGATAAGGGGTTGGATCAATGTATTGGAATGAGATTTAAAAGATTTTTTTTGGTGCTTATGTTTTGCCTTTGTTTTGCTTTTTTTGTGCCTATTTGTTGTTTTTTTTTCTCTTTTTTTGCATGTGTGTTCATTTTTGTTGTTTTTTTTCTTTTGCTTTTTTCTAATTTAGGTTTGGATTGGGTTTTGCTTTTCTTTTTTCGGGGTTTTGAAACATCCCACTGGATAACAGTTAGAAAAGATTTCGGTAAGGTCTGAATAAGGGCTTGATAAGGGCTTGATAAGGGGTTGGATCAATGTATTGGAATGAGATTAAAATATTTTTTTTTGGTGCTTATGTTTTGCCTTTGTTTTGCTTTTTTTGTGCTTATTTGTTGTTTTTTTCTCTTTTTTTTCATGTGCGTTCATTTTTGTTGTTTTTTTTTCTTTTGTTTTTTTCTAATTTAGGTTTGGATTGGGTTTTGCTTTTCTTTTTTCGGGGTTTTGAAACATCCCACTGGATAACAGTTAAAAAAGATTTCGATAAGGTCTGAATAAGGGCTTGATAAGGGTTTGATAAGGGCTTGATAAGGGCTTGATAAGGGCTTGATAAGGCCGTGATAAGGGGTTGATTAGGGGTTGGATCAATGTATTGGAATGAGATTTAAAATATTTTTTTTTGGTGCTTATGTTTTGCCTTTGTTTTGCTTTTTTTGTGCGTATTTATTGTTTTTTTCTTTTTTTTTTGCATGTGTGTTCATTTTTGTTGTTTTTTTTCCCCAACAGCAGAATGCTTTGGGGTCTCAGCCCACATAGCCTTCGGGGTGCTCCGGGGCACTGCTCGACCCTGCCGCCTCGTTTCGCCGGTTCCGGGAACCAGGGTTCCGAGAACCGGTTCCGGGAACCAGGGTTCGGGGCAAGGTTCCGGGAACCCAGGGTTCCGGGAACCAGGGTTCGGGGCAAGGTTCCAGGAACCCAAGGTTCCGCAAACCAGACTTTCAAGCAAGGTTCTGGGAACAATGGGTTCTGGCTACCTTTTGGGTTCCGGGACGTCAAGGTTCCGGGAAGGTTCCGGGCACACTTGGCTTTCGACAAGGTTCCGAGAACCACCACAGATGCGGACCCACAGTTTGGATATACTTCCTGGATTATGCCACAGGTTCCGGACAGGGACAAGGTCAGAGTTCTGGCAAGGTTCCGAGGTTCCGGAAACAACCCAGGGGTCGGATATACGCCGTGGGTTGTACCAAGGTTCATGCTACGGACAGGGTCCCAGAAAACCAATTTGCAAGGAAACCAAGGTTCCAGGACCAAAAGGGCCCGGTCAACGAGCAATCGCTGACAGGGGGGGGGACAGCGTGACAATAAATCAGCGCGTCTCGGTTCCGGAAACCCAGGGTTCCAATATACGCTGTGGGTTGCGCCAAGGTTCCGGAAACGAGGGATTCCAGGAAGACAAGGTTCCAGGGACACAAGGTTCCAGGAACACAAGGGATTCCGGAAATCCCCCAGCCAATCTTGGGTGCTTTGTGGCCCCTCACTGAATTCCGAATTCATGTTCGTTTGCTCAGTGGGCGCACAGCGTCGGTCGACTGACCTGTTCTGATGTTGCTGTAAAATCTTCTGTTTGAACTGTTCCGATGTCGCATCTACCAAAGCACATGCCACATCAAGCAATTAAGTTCGATGCCTTGGAACACCTAAATATTGGCAGCAAACCTGTGTGAGGCTTCTCGAAGCCAGGTAGATGATTTTTTGAAGCTAAGTGACCAAACAGCAACACACAATGAAACTTCAGACACAGTTGTGACACAACAACCAAGTATTGACATGAAACTAATTCTGGAATCATGATGGACAATTTGGCCAAAACCAACTGTTTCACCAATCACTTGCGCAAACTGACCGATGTTGTCCAAGCACGACAAGATAATCCCAAACCAACACACACACACAATTTTGTAAACACTTAATGACACACCGTGGTCTGCAAATACTGCCATTCGTTTGTAACCAAATGTATGTAAATTCAACTATGCGCGCTTTCTTAAAGAACATGTCTCATCCTGCCTTTGGTCCAAAAGGGGAGGGGGCAAGGCGGGCAAAAAATCGCCGAAGAGACTTAGGCTATGGAATCCTGTTCCTGCCATCATTAATCCGTCTTGGGTTGCAAAGTTGGACCACTGTTTGAAACCAACCGCTGCCGGTTCCGGGAACCAGGGTTCCGGGCAAGGTTCCGGAACTCAGGGTTCCGGGAACCAGGGTTCGGGGCAAGGTTCCAGGTTCCGCAAACCAGACTTTCAAGCAAGGTTCTGGGAACAATGGGTTCTGGCTACCTTTTGGGTTCCGGGACGTCAAGGTTCCGGGATCCCCAGGTTCTCGGCGCCAGGAAGGTTCCGGGCACACTTGGCTTTCGACAAGGTTCCGGGAACCTTACCATGGTTTCGAGCGGTTCTGGAATCACCGGAACACCAATTTTGAAACATCCTGGAAACCCAAAGTTTGGGGAACGAGGGTTCCGGCAAGGTTCCAGCAACACTGGGTTCCGACAAGGTTCCGAGAACCACCGCGGATGCGGACCCACAGTTTGGATATACTTCCTGGATTATGCCACAGGTTCCGGACAGGGACAAGGTTGCGGAACAACAATTTTCAAGAAGCCCAGCCCAGGTTCCAGAGAACCAGGGTTCTGGCAAGGTTCCGAGGTTCCGGAAACAACCCAGGGGTCGGATATACGCCGTGGGTTGTACCAAGGTTCATGCTACGGACAGGGTCCCAGAAAACCAATTTTCAAGGAAACCAAGGTTCCAGGACCATATAGGCCCTGTCAACGAGCAATCGCTGACAGGGGGGGGCACAGCGTGACAATAAATCAGCGCGTCTCGGTTCCGCAAACCCAGGGTTCCAATATACGCTGTGGGTTGTGCCAAGGTTCCGGAAACGAGGGTTCCAGGAAGACAAGGTTCCAGGAACACAAGGGATTCCGGAAATCCCCCAGCCAATCTTGGGTGCTTTGTGGCGGGTTCCGCACATGCCGATTCATGTTCGTTTGCTCAGTGGGCGCACAGCGTCGGTCGACTGACCTGTTCTGATGTTGCTGTAAAATCTTCTGTTTGAACTGTTCCGATGTCGCATCTACCAAAGCACATGCCACATCAAGCAATTAAGTTCGATGCCTTGGAACACCTAAATATTGGCAGCAAACCTGTGTGAGGCTTCTCGAAGCCAGGTAGATGATTTTTTTAAAGCTAAGTGACCAAACAGCAACACACAATGAAACTTCAGACACAGTTGTGACACAACAACCAAGTATTGACATGAAACTAATTCTGGAATCATGATGGACAATTTGGCCAAAACCAACTGTTTCACCAATCACTTGCGCAAACTGACCGACGTTGTCCAAGCACGACAAGATAATCCCAAACCAACACACACACACAATTTTGTAAACACTTAATGACACACCGTGGTCTGCAAATACTGCCATTCGTTTGTAACCAAATGTATGTAAATTCAATTATGCGCGCTTTCTTAAAGAACATGTCTCATCTTGCCTTTGGTCCAAAAGGGGACGGGGCAGGGCGGGCAAAAAATCGCCGAAGAGACTTAGGCTATGGAATCCTGTTCCTGCCATCATTAATCCGTCTTGGGTTGCAAAGTTGGACCACTGTTTGAAACCAACCGCTGTTGGGGATCTACGTCGGCTTATTTCTTTTGTTTTTTTCTGATTTAGGTTTGGATTGGGTTTTGCTTTTCTTTTTTCGGGGTTTTGAAACATCCCACTGGATAACAGTTAAAACAAATTTCGATAAGGTCTGAATAAGGGCTTGATAAGGGGTTGATAAGGGGTTGGATCAATGTATTGGAATGAGATTTAAAAGATTTTTTTTTGGTGCTTATGTTTTGCCTTTGTTTTGTTTTTTTTGTGCTTATTTGTTGTTGTTTTCTCTTTTTTTGCATGTGTGTTCATTTTTGTTGTTTTTTTTCTTTTGTTTTTTTCTAATTTAGGTTTGGATTGGGTTTTGCCTTTTCTTTTTTCGGGGTTTTGAAACATCCCACTGGACAACAGTTAGAAAAGATTTCGGTAAAGTCAGAATAAGGGCTTGATAAGGGCTTGATAAGGGCTTGATAAGGGCTTGATAAGGACTTGATAAGGGGTTGGATCAATGTATTGGAATGAGATTTATTTTTATTTTTGGTGCTTATGTTTTGCCTTTTTTGTGCTTATTTGTTGTTTTTTCTCTTTTTTTGCATGTGTGTTCATTTTTGTTGTTTTTTTTTCTTTTGTTTTTTTCTAATTTAGGTTTGGATTGGGTTTTGCTTTTTCTTTTTTCGGGGTTTTGAAACATCCCACTGGATAACAGTTAAACAAGATTTCGATAAGGTGTGAATGAGGGCTTGATAAGGGTTTGATAAGGGCTTGATAAGGGCTTCATAAGGGCTTGATAAGGGGTTGATTAGGGGTTGGATCAATGTATTGGAATGAGATTTAAAAGATTTTTTTTTGGTGCTTATGTTTTGCCTTTGTTTTGTTTTTTTGTGTTTATTTGTTGTTTTTTTCTCTTTTTTTGCATGTTTGTTCATTTTTGTTGTTTTTTTCTTTTGCTTCTTTCTAATTTAGGTTTGGATTGGGTTTTGTTTTTCTTTTTTCGGGGTTTTGAAACATCCCACTGGGTAACATTTAGAAAAGATTTCGATAAGGTCTGAATAAGGGCTTGATAGCTCAGCTATTTTTTTGTTTTTGTGTCGTTTTGGTCTAATTTAGGTTTGGGTTGGGTTTTGTTTTGTTTTCGTGTTGTTTGCTTTGTTTTGTTTTTCTTTGTTTGTTTGTGTTTTTTTGTTTTTTTTTCTAATTTAGTTTTGGTTTGTTTTTTTTCAAATTTAGGTTTGGATTGTTTGTTTTTTTTCCTCCTGTTTTTTTCTAATGTTAACAGATCAACCTCTTGAAACATTTTTTCTTATTAAGGCCTTATTAGCAAAACAGGGTCTCAAACACCTTTTTTGACGCCATCATTGCCTTCACACCAAATAAGGTCTTATTAAGGAAAACCTGTTTTTTAGGCCGAAAAAACCACACTTCCTTATTAAGCATCTATTGCGCTTCCGGGGGGGGGTTTTGCTGGGGGGGGTCGTGGGCCCTGTGATATACCTATCTATACCTATCTATACCTATCCTATCTATACCTATCAGTTTTAATGGCCAACAAGGTGGGTTTTCCATGGGATTTCAAGTACTTTGGATTGAATCAATGACAAGAAACTTATGATGTAAAGTGATTGAAAACGACGCAAGTTGGGATTGGACCAGAAAAACTAGAATTGAACTTCAACCAACAGAGTCACGGGGGTATAAGCCAACCTGATGATATGGGAATATCCAATTTGGTTAGTCATTATCCAACGAAAAAAACAATGAGCGAAACCAGGCATCCTGGGTAGCCGAATGATATGGGATATGATGGGGATGAAGGGATGAAGCCACTGACTTTTAGGTGTGCCTGAAAATGGGCATATCCAGTATTTATGGTCATTTTTAGTCAGGAATATCAATGAATATGATGCTATGATGCAATGGATTTGGGGAGCCACTGACGCGGTTTTTTTTGGGTGACATGACTGCTAATTTCATCCTCATGGGACAAGGAGAAAACTGAACTGCTAGGAGGGATTATGTATGATTATAAAACAACGAAAAATATCACCAGGATTCGATTACAGCAAAGGAATGGGATGCTGAGATCCCGACAATTCCAAAGAGCCAGCTTCAAACGAGATTCCAGACCTCGAAACATGTGGCGCCAATTCTTAGATTTTAGCGTTTTAGCACCTGGCAAAATCATAAAAAACCATGAGAAAACTGTCCAGTTGTGTCCAACAGTTGATGGATAGCCTAACATATGGCACCTCTGGTGGAGGTGAGTCTCGACTTCAGCGACGAAGCGGTTTTCGGCACCTCAGTGGTGAGGTTTTGGGATGGATGGGATGGGGCCATCGCTACCGGGCAGGGGGGCAACATCCATAACTGGTTGGTGGTTTGGAACATGAGTTTTCTGACTTTCCATTCAGTTGGGAATGTCATCATCCCAACTGTTACTCACTCCATCATTTTTCGGAGGGGTTGGCAAAAAACCACCAACTAGTTTGATATGAACAGAAGGGTACCAGGGTGAGCTGACCAACAGCCATGATAGACCATGATGGACCTTCTGGCCATCGATGTCACAGCGACTGCACCATTTGAACTCTGGGTCCATTGCCGCAAGACCCCAAAGAAACAGATTGATGATTTGGTTTGAGTACTGACTGTAATTTCCGGAGATCCCAGTTCACGTTTGCTCATGGATTCAACCAATGGTGAGATCCGGGACCAAAATACAGTACTTCGGGTCGTCAGACTTTTGGGTTTGGCCAATAGGCAATCAGGGGATGTCTGAACCAATGACCCCGATGTCGCCGTAGGTGGAACTGAATTGGAAGGATGATTCCGGAAATGCAAGAACACCCGATATTGAAGCGGAAAAAACTTATGGCTTCCTATTGCCCTGTAATTTAGATAAATTTAGACTACCCATAAGTTTTCCTTAGGTCTCTTTAGGTATCCAGTTGACTTCTGGTATCCTTAGACATGTCCCCCAACAAAATCCATCCGTTGTGACTGTTGACGCACGGCTTCAGGTCGCCGGACCTTCAAAACGTCTGGAAATGGCACCTGGGCAGTCAAGAAATTGGTGTGCTTGCTGTGCTATGACAGGGGGATTGTTACTCTTCTTATAATCATTTGTTATGAGTATTGTTATTATGATCAGATTATCATTTCTTGAGGTCTTGTCAATCAGAGTCAAACATCTAGAAAAAAGATGAAACAAGTGAACGGGTCATGCTTCTTTTTGGGCTTTTCTGAACGGTGCCTTCAACGATCGCTGGGTGAACTCTCAGAAACCGATGTCAAATGGGATACCAATAGAGCCGGTGAAACCAACTTTCAGTCTCCATTCTGACCATTCTGATTGGTTGTATCATATCAATATTATCAATTCAATTTTCACTGACTTGAATTATAGGCCTATCTTTTCCATCCGTTTTCAATTTTTCTTTTCCTCCACTTTCCTCATTTTTCCTCACGTTCATCGATTTTTCAGAACTTTTCGCTCGCTTTTCATCAGCTCTTGGAAAGCTTCACCCCCCCTGGCCGCCAGTGGCCCCTCCCAGGAAGTGTCGCGCTGACCTGGCGCTTGAACCGATCCACGGCGACCACTGGAGAGTCGAAACTGCAGATCCACCGCCTTTCGGCAGTACCTCGGTGGTCGACCTATTGGATCCCTGAGATCCGACCAGGGCGGATCTCCAGGATCTCCAGGATCTCACCTGCAGGTTGGTGAAAAAAACTGATCTGGGAAAAGTGGTGACTGGAACATTGGTGAAATGTATGGGATATTGATGGGATAATGATGGTTAATAATGGTTCATAATCACTGGTTGGTGGTGTCTGGAACCATGGAATTTTCTGACTTGCCCATCATATTGGGAATGTCATCATCCCAACTGACGAACTCCATCATTTTTCAGAGGGGTGGCGAAAAACCATCAACCAGTGATGTAATGACTTGGATGAGAACTGGTACCCCCCATGGAAACCTCTGCGATCAGCCAAGACCAGGACGCACGGGACTTGCCCTGGTACCTGCTGGTCACTGGTCAATCCTTGGACACTCAAGAGAGGCCCGGAATCTCTGCGATCGATCTATGGGATCTATGGGATCTATGTGTGTTTCATGGGATTTACGGGATCTACTGTCTGTTGTGGCGGCAAACTCAGCAACTGCCGCGGTTTTGGAGGGAGAGGAATTGAATGATCTACCAGTAACTATCCTGAAATTCGGATGGGGAAAAGAACACACCACAGATCCAGCCCTTGTTTTCTTTCACGATGAAAATGAGGATTGGCATTCCACAAGCAAAAAAAACCTCGCAAAATAAAATGAGGACAGCCGGCTGCCCGCTGTTTCAATCCTCCAGTGGAGATTCAATAGGATTGCATCACTTTCCTCTTGATCCCTCTCAACCAGAAGAACCAATCTGTCGAAAAGGTCTTGGAAACTGCTCTTTTCGTCGGCGGTTTCAGGTGGGATTGGAATGCCGAAGAGACCCAGCAGACCACAGAGCGGGAGTTGTCTTATGACCCTCAAGGCTTTGGCTTGGGTCCATGGGGTGTTGAAAACATGGCTGGATCAGGATAGATAATCCCAAAATCCTACAGAGAGCCCCTCCAAAATGGGAAAACCATGGAAAACCCATGATTTTTCCTCGAAAAAAAGTCACCAACATGGACCGTCATGACAAGATCATGACCCATAAAACCTAATTTCTTCGGCATCCCATGTTGCCCGCCCCATGTTGCCTCTGGTGAAGCTCTCTGAAGCTAGGCTACTTGGTGGAACTTTGGCAGCCGGAAAGCACAGGAGGGGACACCTAAAGGGTGGAACTTGTGCGGCTTATTCAGCTAGAAAACGTGGGACAAGAACTTCCAGCCAACATTTCCAACCAGCCGAAACATGACTTTTGCGAAATTGGATGTGGCTCAATTGCGATGGAACTTGACCGTACCCATGAATCATCTGAAAAATCCACTGTCAAATGGCTGGCCTCCTGCTTCGACCCAAAAAATCAACTCAATGGATCCACGATTTCGCTGCTCATTGGACATCAACATCAACGATTCTCATCCGTTCCCATCCAATGATGTTCCTCTAAAGCAGTCCAGCGGTTTCCTAAGTATGGGTATAGGTCCGAAAACTACCAAAAGGAGATGGTTCTAGATCCTACAAAAATCTGCAATATTTTGTTTATCGCCCAAAATGGATACCTTAATCCTGAAAACGACCACAGTTGGGGAACCAGGAGACGTCTTATTGGCAGAGGGTTCCCTCTTCCCCACAGTGTCGTCGACACGCAGCACGGTGGTGGTCGATCTCTCCAACGGTGCGCGGAAGCCGAGTCAAACACCAGTCGTGAAACATGATGGATTGACTTTAATTTATGGCCCATTGAATGAGAACGATGATGATGATGATGATTATTATTGTTATGATGATTATTCTTATGACAATGATTATTGTTATTGTGATGGTGATGATGATGATGATGATGATAATGATTAACCATGTTTTTGTTTCTTTGCCCAAAACTTTCAGAATTTCCGGCGAATCTCCGGTGACAGGTGGTCGCCTGGAGATTCTTTACAGCGTCGAGATTGGGGTAGGTGCCAGAGGGATGGGCAATTTCTCTGAAAGTGATGGATTCTTATGAGATTTAAATAGGTCATTGCCATAAATTACCATCAATTACCCTGTATTACCCTATTTTTATGACCTATTTTTATGGTAATGACCATGAAAATTAGCAATTTTCAGAGAACCCCATATGAGAATCGCTGAGGAACTAACTTGTTGCGCGTTTTGGAAAAGTGTTTCGCAGAGATGGAACATCCCAATGGTTCTTAGGAAGGTGATTCACAACTGGTGGGTATTTACTGGGAGGTAAATTCCGTGTTGACAGATATTCCAGATATTCGATGTTGTTTGTATATTTCTTTATCCTCATGTTTGGTTTAATATGAATATCATTTGGCAAGTGTTTGTTAGGCAATTTCTGTGGGTAAACTACCCCAGCCATGCCATAAATATCACCAGAACCATCCCCAATGACCATCCTCAACCGGAGCCACACACGTCTCGACGTGGATGTGTCTCTTACCTTGTCAGGAAAATCTCCAGCTAAATGATATGGGTTAGCCACTAATCCCTGATGCGGGTATCTACCCTCTGCGTATTTGACATAGCTAAATGGATGAACATGGCCCATTAATCGAGGATTTCTGATGATTTAGCTATAAAAAATATTACAAGTCGTGATTGGTCATAGCTATCTGAACTTACCAGAGGATGATATTAGGGGCATGGGACTTGTTTCTGGGATGCTGGGATGCCTATACTTGCCGGTCAGTTCCATGCGGTGCCAGGACCGGAGCCCAGCCCCCCAGTGGTTCGCAAGGACCCTATTGCAGTGGGAATCAGCGGATTTTTCAGAGATTTTTGATGGGCCGGATGATGATTTTTGAATGATTTTCAACACAACCTTGATTTTGGATGTGTGATGATGTGTGATATGCTCATCAAAGCAGTTCTATTGAGATTTGTTTGTTTTGTTGTTGGATTCCCTGCACCCAAGGTCTTTTAATGTCGTAAACCATTAACCCAACAATAACAGCCATTGATATGCCTTTATGCGCTAACTGGACGAACTACATAACTTGGGGATGGCTGCAATTTCAGTCTTATTAATCGGATAAATCATTTCAGTCTCATCCGTCTTATCATCATCTTATCCAATTTCTGGTAATTGATATCATAATTGATATCATAACCATTTACCAATATCATTTATCCAATTACCATAATTAATTACCAAATCATCCAATTTTTCAGTATCATAATTGATTTTTTTATGACCATTTGGATGAATAAATCGGCTCAATTGGATGATTATTTCTGGCAAAGCCTGGCTGCCATATGCTGCCATAAAGCTCCCCCTTGGGGATGGTTTTTCACCATGGCGAATCCCACATCAACTTTTCGGCTTTTCATGGCTTTTCCCTACTGTATCCTCATGATATTTTCATGAAATGCCACCAGACATGGCAGGTGAATCCCCACATTACCCAAGTATCCGGTTGTTAGTCAGTTGCAGTTAGTGGGATCCCCATCAAATATCCCCATGTTTTTTTGGGATACGGTATCCTCTGGTAAACTAACATAACAATGGAAAATCACCATTTTTAATGGGTAAATCCACTATAAATGACCATGTTCAATAGCAAAATGTTAGTTTACCAGAGGATATATCCCATTAATATCCCATTGAATCACTATAAAATCCCATTAAACCACTATAAGTGGTCATTTTCAATAGCTATTTTGACATAACCAGAGGGTCCCAACATTCCTTTGGGCCACGCAGGAAGTCCGGCTGCTGGAGGAAGCAGAACAGCAGCGCTTCCTACGAGCACTGCAGAGACTCATGGAGAACCAGGCGCCGGAAGCGAAAGACGGATGAACTTGTTATACCCTCTGGTAATAGCTGACATAGCTATTGAAAATTGTGATTTATAGTGGATTTTCCCATTGAAAATGGTGATTTTCCATAGCTATGTTAGTTTACCAGAGGGTAAACGTGTCATGAATACCGAAAGAAAATCAGTTTCAACATGTTTCAACATGATTTCCACCGTAAATTTATGTAAATTTACCAGAAATCAATGGGGTAAGAACCAATCCATTGGATTGTTCTCTACATTTGGGAGGTAAAGATCCGCGGTTTCCAGCAACATTTCCCTGAAATCAATCCATTGACAAGCAAGATCACGCCATTCATAGCCAAAATCCACACTTATCATCCACTTAAATCACGTTTTTTCGAGATTCTATCTTCATCCCCACCTTAACCGTTAAGGACCGTCCGTGTTTTTAAGGCCGTCCCCATCGTTACCAGGGGACGGCCTGGTGTTCCCGAAAAGGACGGCGTGCAGAGCTCCAGCTTCTTTCGGCTGGCGGCCTATCACGGCTGGCCGGAGGACTACTGCGTCCATGGCGCCTTGGTCTCTGCTTCCATGGCGTGCTGGATGCGTTTTTGAAAAGGGGGGATAGCCCCTATTTTTATGGTTCATAATGGTGTAATAGTGGTTACAATAATGGTATAATTATGTATAATTATAATGATGGTTAATAGTGGTTAATATTTTTTATCATGATATAATAATGGTATATAATGATGGGATATGAACGGAATGTTAGTGGTTAATAGTGGTTAATAATGATATAATAATGGTACAATAATGGTATAATAATGGGATATCAATGGAATATTAGTGGGATAATACTGGGATAATGGCATATGGATGGAATATTAGTGGAATATGATGGAATAAAATGGGAAATAATGGGATGTAAGGGTATGTATGAGGGTTTCTGAAAATGGGGGATCCCGAAGTCACCATGGGTTTCAACACTAAGCCATGGCCATACATTAGGAAACCTCCTGATGGCCTACATTAAAAAACAAGGGCTAAGGTGATGAAACACATTTCTCCAATTTTGGGGGTAACTCATCAACAAGAAAAGCCGTGGGTGGAACGGGCGTAGCCCTTTTTCAAACCCAAGAGATTTCACCTCAACAGGTTTGTCAGCCAAAATAATGATGTGAAATAGTCACTGATAAGGAAGCAGGCTTACTTTGTCTATTTTCACCTGGTATATACAATATACCCAAGGAATAGGGGACTTATTATTGGATGGAAAACCACGAATCTTTTTGCTGGTCCGTGCTTTTTTACTTTATTTTTATTAACCAAAGCACTGACCTATAGAACGGGATGTTTTTGTTCAACAAGTTTCTCATGAAGTTCATCGTTTTCTCAGTGACTTTAACCATGATAAAACAGCATTTGTATTGATAATATCAACCTCTAACCACCAAAAGTTGATCAGGATCCATCTATCAGATAGCTGCGCCTCACAGTCATTTACTTCCCAAAGATGAGTCCCTAGAAACTATGCTTTAGCATTGGACGTATTCATTTCGGGGCCCATTCTGTGGAAGATGTTTCTATCAGAAAGCGTCCCCCAAGTTATAGATTGACTTTTAGGTCCCTCCAACTGCAGATACTGTATACCTTCTGATAATCCAACATGGCTGGCTGGGGAATCCACCATTTATACGAGATTGTCCCATTAAAACATATTAAAACCATCATAATTCTAGATGATTTTCAATTGCTTTTTGTTTTACTGTTGTGGGTGATCCACAAAAAAAATCACCAATTTTATGACCAATCCAAGGGATACCTGCAGCTCTAAGGGATGGGACGGGTCCAGGGGATTCGACCCGTTGGATCGCTCAGGTCAAGAGACATTTCCAGGGTGGCACCGTGCCTATCTCCGAGACTTTGAACGAGCTCTGATCGAGGCACCGTGCCTGTCGGATGGAGACCCGAAGCCCAAGTCATCCAGGATTTACCAATCCCACTATGAAAATGGCTATAACTTTGGCCACTTTCCCAATTTTTAGGCGTCCAAATCATATTCTTTGTATTTCTTTGTGATATCCCCATGATATGCCCATTATTGATGGCCCATTGTAGCCGCAAAAAAAGACACATCGAGTTATTCTGCTATCCAGATCCAGGTCGTGATAAGCGGCAATCTGGGATCGATAAACACTGGCTGATTAATTGGGGGGTACCTTCACAAATTGTGGGAATCAACCAAAATTGCACCTCCAATGAAACAACCCGGGGCTTTGGTACTCAGGGTTGACAATATACTACTTCCAAAGTTGCGCAACATAGTTATAAATTCTATATTCTCTAAATGTTATACCACCATATACCATCTAATGTCTGGTAGATTTTGTGGATGGTTCAACGGTTCATGGCGGCACAGGCAGACAAGGCCTTAAACAACGACGGGGACCTGGGCGTTCCCTACTGGGACTGGACCAGACTGGAGCTCAACGGTCAGATCCTGTGCCACGGATGCTGTTGGGGGTCCGCCCTGAGAAATCCTAGGGATACCAACAATGGGGAGAAAAACATCAGTGAAAACATCAGTTACACCAGCATCCCTAGGGATTATACCACCAAAAATATTCAATGGGGTAGAAAAACCTCCATTAATGCACAAATGGGTGGTATAAAAAATGTATAAAACATCAATTCATGAATATGTTTGATGCAAAGTTTCTGGACACCAATTCATGGTGTTATGGGCGCTTCGAAAATCGACAGGAAACCACTGGGTTTTTCCCATGAAAGCCGTGGTGCCACAGGCCGAACATCATTCGCCAAAGCTTCGAGGAGCTGCCCAGTGGCCTAGTGGATCCTGCGCAGGCGCTCTCCGCTGCCCGGACCGAGCATGGTGGTGCTACTCCAGTGATGTTTGTTGGTGGTACCCTCCGGTAATTTGTTACATAGCTATTGAAAATGGCCCATTTATAGATATTTATAGTGGATTTACCCATTGAAAAGGGTGATTTTCCCATAGTTACGTTAGTTTACTGGAGGGTACCCCTTTCTGATGTTTGCTAATCCCAACAATCGCTGGATGATTTATTTTTGGGGGTACTCCCATGACTAGCTGGACTCCTCCATCTGTGCCGCGCAAGGCCGGTCGTTTGGCTGCGCTGGGTTATCAGCTGCCCACAGAGGAGCAACTGCGACAAAATCTCGTATCGCTGCAGGCTGGGGGAGACGGGCTGGTGATGAGCCCAATGGCATTGTTTGCATTGGCACTTGTTGTGATTATGGTTACTAGACTATACTAGACTGTTATGATTGCTATTATATACTTTTGTTAGTAGGATTCATAAATAGGTGCTTGGCTGCATCGTCACGTTCGATTTCTGGAGGATAGTTGGGATTGGGATGTAAGCGTGGAGGAAAAATGGGGATGTAGTGTAGGCAGCAACTAATGGACATCGTTTCAGAACTGGTATTTAACAATCTGGCCAGGCAGGTTGGTTATCCCTGAATAAAAATGGTGAGTGAACTCTCACTTTGCCTAGCAATTCCACAATTTGACTCCAAAGTTATATATAGCCGGTAAAATTTCCAAGGCTTTTTCTTCCCAGCTATAAGAAATATTCTTGGTTTACATCCCAATGATGGTCTAAATCCCATTAAATCACCATTTCTGTTAGTTTGAATCCCATTAAATCACCATTTCTAACTTCCAAGACAAAGCGCGCCAGGTGGTTCCACAAGCCGAGAGCTCGTTGACGGTGCCTGAGCATTGGCTGCACGCCTCGACCCGCTTCAGTATGAGAGGCAGTCGGGTGGGAATGTCTGGGGAGGTGATTGGGAGACATACCCTCTGGTTATGTCAAAATAACTATGGAAAATCACCATTGAAATAGTGATTTTTCCATGAAAAACGGTGATTTTCCATAGTTATGTAAACGTTTACCAGAGGGTATTGGGATGGGTCAAAGCCCATGAAATTATTACCATATTTGGGGGAATAGCAATCCATGAACCGATCATGAGCCAGCTATTTTAGGGTATCTAGGGTTTTGATCCATAACCATATGTGCCATATGGGTGGTACAGAGCCAAATTTCAACGGAATTTCACCAGCAATATACTGATGGGATACCCAAACCAAACAGAGGTTTTCCATAGTCACGGGGGTACCCCAAGCGAGCATTGGATGGTTTATTTCATGGAAAATCCCTTAAAAACACAATGGAGGATAACTGGGGGTAGCACCATTTTCGGACCCCGGGAACCCCCCCATTTTTGGAACAGCCAAACATGGCGATTGAAGCAGGGAACATGGTGCTTGAACCACGGTTCAAACATCAAACCGTGGGGAGCCTGGAAAAAAAGAACGTAGGGATTTTCAATAAGTACTTCAATAAAATCCCATTGTTATAAGTACCATATGTTGTTATTCAATAAGTAGGGAATTTTCAATAAGTAAACATGACATAACATCAGGGTACTTCAATAAGTCGAAAAGAAATGGTATTGCTTCATGATAAGATGGATGAACCTTGGTGAAGGGTAGTGTGAACATACTCCCCAGCACAAGAAAATGGTAGGTTATCTAAGGTGAGCAATGTGACAGGAATGGTATTTAGATGATGATGGTTGAGACAAACATCATATTATATGTTGAATCAACGGTCACATATTTATATGATTTTATTTATGTGCCATGAGCAGTGCCATGGTCAACTGACGTGGGTCAATTTTTGACCATGGCACAAGGTGAAGACCCTGAACCCCTACAACTATCTTCACCAGTCCGCAATTTTGACATGTGGATCTGAGTCTGAAAGTGTGGATTTCACAGGCCAAGATTGTGGAAAACCATGTAAAAAACAATGTTGAACCATGTTGAACCAATCACATCTATTGTTGAATCAATAACATCTCGGGGAATCACCAACAGAAACTGGGGGCAGACGATCCAGGATTTTCCGTTGAGTCCTCACATAACGGCGTTCACGTGGCGCTGGGTTTTCCCATGAACACGGTGTCTGGGTGCAGCGGCGAGATTGCGGGAAGTGACCAGATTTTGGATTGATGGATTAATAATACTATGTTATGATAACTATCCTTGCTCCATTATAATCACTATTATTATTGCCCCGTGTTGACCAGTTGGGGTCTCATGAGTTTATCCCACCAAACACGGCGATGTAACAGGATTTAACCAAGACAACCGGGGTTTTTGTCTTTAAGCAACAAACACTTGGCGTATAAAACCAACGACGGTAGGGCTATACCGAGATACATAAGGATATATAAGGATTATATAGAAGTATACACAGAGGAGCTTTATCCACTTTTGTGGCTTGTTCCGCTATGACGACAGTTACTTACTCGGATGATAAATAATCATGATCCAAGGTTCACTGTGTGACTGAAAACCTCAGATCTGGCATATCTAACAAGCAGTCGATATGGACAGCAAAAATATAGCAAACCCAAGTTAAGATCCCGAAAAGTAGAATCCTGCCAGTAGCGGTAAAATTGAGTTTTTCCGAATGGTCTTTGGGGTTACTATAGCGCTATAGCGCTAAGGAATTTCTACCAACAACAAATTGTGGACAATCAACGTTTTCGGTGAGATCGACTGAGGGGTTGATCATAATGCACACAGCATCCATCTCTCAGGTTCCGTACGCTGCATTTCATCCTATCTTCTTCCTGCACCATTCCAATGTGGACCGCATCTATGAGAAACACGTGCAGATGGAGACACCAGAAGAATGTGTTCCTCGGACTGGCAGGGCGATTTTGTGGAAGCTCAAAGTCCATGGGATCCCCAATTCCACGGATGATGTTGGCATATGTTGGCGATTATAGTTGTCATACAATCCATGAATCATCATGAATCGTCATGAAATATCCATCCATTAATATCCATTAATCCATTTATAAATGAATGGATTAATGGAGCAAGGATAGAGGATTATATCATGGATTAATCATTTCAATATATAATTGATCCCCTATTAAAAAAATAATGGATGCATTAATCCATTAATCCATGTTGCTTATATATAATCCATGGATAATTGATACCCCAAATGTTAGCATATATACCAGCACCATGGATCCGTCATGGGATATAATGGATTAATAATTTCAAGGATGTTGTCCTACCATCCATAGATCCCCTGATTGCCCTGAATTCCCTGAGGCGCGGGAGTTCGCGGCGCGGCAGCGCAGTTTGGCGGAGCAGGGCGAGACGAATCGATTTCTGCAGCCCTTGGAGCCGTTCCAGTTGAACGACAGGCGAACCCATGGAGGATTTCATGGTGATTTCATGGTGATTTCATGGTGATTTCATGGTGATTTCATGGTGATTTCATAGTGATTTCATAGTGATTTCATAGTGATTGAATGGTGATTTACTGGGTTTTCCTGGGATTTAATGAGATCTAATTGGATCGAACCTGAGTCATGGATCAACATCTTAAGCTCCAGGCGACGCAAAAGATTCGGACAGATTCCCTGGAGACTTTAACATGATTGAAGCGACCGTCAAAGATACAACGTTTAACATGTCAACCATTGGGATTTCATGATCATAACTGGAAGATACTGGGAGTTTAAACATGATTTGGGGTAGAGCTCAAAACTTTGTTGCTACATTATGATCAATGATACAATATGATGATAATCAATGAAAATCCCATGCAATGATATATGCCCAGCACGTCCATCGGCCCATTCGTGGCATGTCGTGGTCAGACGAGGCCGCTGATGCCTGCCGATACCTTTGACACTGCTCGCTTAGGCAGGGAGGAACCACCCAAACTTCGGAAGAATAGTGGTGGATAATGGTGAAGAATGGTGAACAACGAAAAGATCATGGAGGAGTAAGAATATCGAAACCTCAAATCGCGAGTGACTCCTCCAACATGGGAGAATAGTTGTGAATAATGGTGAACGCGGCTGAAGAGTAAACACGGTGCCATAAACCATCCCATAACCATCCCTAATAATTGCATACATGGGTTGACTTGAAACCATCCCTAAATGGTAGGTTTATGGCAGCCAGGGTTCTCATATTGATGGAGTTGGAAACATCATCAAACTGGGAATGTACTTTGGAGCCAACAAACATAGGGATTTAGCCAACACAAGCAAGCAGGGAGCCCAAACTGGCACGAAAAACCAGCAAGATCGCCTTTCGGAAGTTAGCAAGTCCACTTGCACTGCGGCTAGGAGAGCACTGCATTTGTACATGTGATGTAGGTTGTACCTATACAAAACGTGCTGTATCCCAAGAAACTGCACCAAGTCGGAGCCAAGTACAATGTAGTGATGTAGTGAATCCTCTCCAAACAGTTGCAAGGATTCAGAAGCTTGTACAAGGTGATGCACCCCCAGTCATAAGTTCTTTTTTTCAACCACAGTAACTATATAGAATATATCTACATAAATCCTAGTTATTGGAGTTATGTTCACCAACTTATAGCTAAGCACGACTTTGTTTGTTTCCATTTCTGCCTCGATTTTCCTCGCTGCTGTTGACTCCGCCTATGGCCGCGTTGCCAGGCTACGTGTATGACGAGCTACCACCAGATCCCCCGCAGCTGATGACCGAAGAGCCAATTTTTGTGGCCTTTGAGAACATCCAGGTGCAGCTGGGTGCAGCTGGTGCCAGGATTGTCCCAGGTAACCGAGGTAACCGAAAAAAACGAGGTGTCTAGGAGTGAAACAGAGAATCCCCGGCAAAAAAACATGTCGTTATTTGGTTGATGGATCAGGTTGGCAATTTTCATGGAGAAATCGCTAGAAATTGTACTAAACATATCTAAACATCGCCACGTTGATGTGATCTGATCGATTTTGGGAAGTCATGGCTATTTCACCACCGTAGTCGGAAATCTCCTCAGAAAACACTTCATCCACTCAGCCAGAGGTCCTTGCATTGAAGCAGAAGAGTGGCTGGGCAGTGAAGGAGGAGCTTTTCTGCAGCTTTTGGGGGGGTCCGTCTCAAAAAGGGGGGATGCGTCCCCAATTTATGGCAACTTAGTGACTTAATGGGGAAGATGATGATGAACCAGTGGATCTTGAGGAGCCCAAGTTTCAAGGTGCACCCAAATCCCACTGTTTTTATCCAACATTCCACAGATGTTTGGCTATCCGTTTTTTTTTTTTAATCTTGTGAGCCCAAGACAAAAACACTGCTTGAAGAAATCTATTCCTATCGATAAACAGCTGAACTTCGCGTGCAAAAAAAAAATATCCGTGTCCCCTTCAATCTCACGATTGCCAAGTTGCCCAAGTTAGCCATGGAACTGGGATGATCTAGAGTTAATGGATAGTAGCTCGGAACAAGACATCCGCAAGGGGTTAAACACCATCCAACCAGCGCAACGAAAACCATGACTGGGGGGCCATGGGCTACACCAGAATTCAACAAAGCAATGGACGCATAACAACTCGGGTGTGCATCCCACGTAGTAAACAGGTTATACCCCCGCTTGGATCAATGGAATATCCTCAGTTATACATATATTATACATATATAATCTGATATTATATATAACATATATATATATAATATTAATATATACATTATACATATTATATATATATGTATATGTATATATATATATGTTATATATTGGCTGATAAACCACTCACCAATCCAGTATTTTCTGAACCCCTCAGTGATCCAAGGCTACAAGCTGCACGTCTTCCTCACCTCCGAGGGCGGTTGGTCCTACCCCAGCAGCCACGACTGGTCGAGCATCGCTGGCTACGCGGGGGCGGGCGCCATTTTCGGGGGCCGTGCGGAGGAGTGTCACTAGGGCGGCATTTTGCTGGAGCTTGGGGAATTGAAAGGGGATAGAACCATGAAAGATCTTGAAATTTCATAGGATTATGTAATACAACTATAACTGGGGGAAGAATGAGAGATTATAGATGTTCATGAGGATATAATGGGTTGTTATGACAATGGGATAGAATAGGGATATAAGAGGATATAAGTAACCAGCAATGAGAGACCCCTGCAACATGTTTTTGGGTTTATCATGCAACCCCTCAAAAGTGAACTCACCCTCCCAAGTGAACTCATCATAACCTCGATAGAATGGGACAGTGTAAGGGCATATATTTCACCATTGAGGGATAAGGTTGAATCACATGACTAAATGACTAAGGGTGACCCCTCCAAAAATGTTTGGGAGATCACCTGGGCATAGCTTCTGGTAAAACACACCTTATTTTATTTGGTTAGCAGGATATTTTGAAATACATGAAGAGTTCGGAGGTGCAGCCCTGGGAGTAATCAATGTGGTAAACCCAGTGCCATCAGTTCGGTAAGTGACAGCCATCTCAGATTATTAGGGTTTACCCTCTGGTAAATAAACAGTTGGACCCTGAAAATCACCCATGTTTAATGGAAACTAGTCTTCCAACCCCTATCTGCCAGGGTCTATGTTAATTTACCAGATGGTATATCATCCCAGTTGTTCATACACCCACTTTCTTGTTAACGCCCATAGGGGATCAAAAAAACTTGGGTTTCACTTTCATGTTTACGCCAAACTGGCAAACATGGCCCGCGGGGAAATCCCCCAGCTGGGAACAGTTTTATAGAGGGAAACCAATTAAACATGGAACACATATTTACATATATATATATACACACTATTTTATACTGTAATATAATAACATATATATATATATAAATAAACCAAAAGGTAAAACGACCAAACGCGGATCTTCCAACAAACGGTGTAGCTTCGGAAGTCACACATGGCGTGCTGGAAAATCCCCCAGCTCGGCTCTGTGGAACTGGGCACAATTCAATTTTAGATCATTTTGGCAAGAAGGTATTATATAATCATTAGATAATTGTGATAAATCATACATCTTTTTGCATAGATTATATATATATATACATATATATATAGACATATATATATATATATACATACACATATATATAATTTATATATATATATATATATATTATAAACCATCCATTGGAATTAGAATTCAAATTGCCCTGTGATTAACATTTGTGACTTGCATCTCAATTTTCGGTTGGGGCCTTCGACCAGTGAAAGCGGTCGACCAGTGGAACCGTTGAAACCATGGCAGTCTGAGACCATGGACCTGCACCATGTTCCCCATGTGAAAAGGAATGTCTTACCGGGCAATAAAAATCGGCAAAGATAAGTCATCATCGTTTTACGGAAACAACTTTTTCATCAACAAATCCCATTCTTCAAAGACTCACAATGTTTTTTTTCTCCCTTGATTTGCTTCTGTACATATTTATACCCATTTTATACACCTCCATTGCAAATCACGCAGAGTTACAGTCTCATGCCTCGGCGAAAGATCTGAGGTGAAAACTGCCGAAAGAGGCAATGTCGGCCCGCTTGGTTTTCGTGTTTGTTCCGACGCGGGAAGACATTGAAGGTTTGGATCACCAGAAAATCAACTGGAAGTCCCAAGATCTAAGAGAAACTCTAGAGACTCTAGAGTTTGTCTCTTTTGCGTGAGGTCGTCGATGACTTTGTTGCCATTTTCAGGATGAACATCAACGTCTTTTAGCCCGTTTCAGAACAACATCTTGGTTTTCGTATGTTTTCGTAGAACGCTTTTAGACTTTGATATTTCGACTATTTTGAAATGGTCCAGCATCTTAGTACCATGTTTACTTTATAGCAAGCACAAAAAAGATAGAACACACATTTACCACTATTTGAGTAGGATTTTTACCACCTATTTTTGGCCGAGTTCCTATTTGGAACATTTGGAAGTTCAATGACCATCGCAGGCCGCCCTTCACCGTGTTGGTGGAGGTTCGTGCAACTTTGGAGAAGTTGGGCCTCAGCCGACATGAAGCGGAGGCCGAGTCTCCGAGACACGTACGCAGAAAGGTGGCGTTGATGGGATGAGATACCCGGCCTGGTAATTTCTTACATAGCTATTAAAAATGGTGTTTTAATGGGATTCAATGGTGATTCAATGGTGATTCAATGGGATATTAATGGGATATATCCTCTGATAATTTCTTACATAGCTATAGAACATGGCCCATAGAAATAGTTGATTCTAGTTGATTTACCCATTAAAATGATAAAAGATGGTGATTTTCCACTGATACTGTGAGTTTACCAGAGGTTAACCATGGCTATGATTTAGGAGCTTGAAACAAACATGGTGACTTGGGATACTCCCATTTTAGGACACCTCCGAACATCTGTTGTAAAATTACCTGAACATGAACAATATATAACAATATCAATTCAATGGCCGATTTCACATGGTATATATGAATATATATATGAATAGAATTCAATACGTATATTCATATGGAGGTTTCCATTTATAAACTATCAACCATCTATTTTATGGTGTACCCCCATTTCAGGAACCCCCCATGCCCATGCCCTCACAGGTGCACGTCTTGTGCGAAGACGAACTGGGCGAAGTCTTGCCCTTGGAACCTTGCTGCGGAGAAAGGGGGCCGTGTACCGAATCCCAGGGAGCCGATGATTTTTTTTCTTCCCAATCTTTCCATCCAAATCCCATGTTTCTAAAATAAAAACCCGATCAGTTTCATAATGTGTGGAATTGTGTTGATGAGCTTTTACAGGTTGCCATAACATCCGCTGGGTGTATCAGTCTTATCATCATTTTCACCATCCACGCCATCACCGGCCTTGCTTATCTGCGACGAATTTCGGTGGCACATCTCTCCTTTCTGTTGCTGAAGTCAATATCCAAAAGGCGCAAGAGCCGTATTTTGATGGTAAAACCATGTAAAGCCCATCTATTTGTATTGGATACTGTACTGCTAAACCATTGGTTTCCCTCAAAAACAAGAGAACACTTGGGACGATTTGGGGTCGGAAGAAACCTTGCTGAGGCTGATACTGCAGTGCCAGCACCTGTCGCTCAGCTTGGCAAGGAAACATCCTAAGATATCCTAAGTATACTATGATAGGCTAAAATAGAAAAAATGGAGTCATCCATAGAAGTTGTATGATTTTGGTCCTGGCAAACCAGTAAACCACCCATTTTTTTCTGGCACCGAAGGACTCGACCCATACCCAAATGCGTCTTACTGACGATTCATCACTCAGGTCGCAAGATCTATAGCTTAAACCGCTTTGTCCGTTTTTGGGCTACTTTGAAAATTTGGAAATTTGATGGTTGATCATCAGCTTTACACAGCTTTACCATTTGTCAAAAATGATGGCACCGGATATCATGGGATAATCCTGATGGATGATAAAATTTTCCATATAAACAATGGCCCACTTTGGTGGGTATAGCGATATCTCAGACACACCCAGATGGACCGCATTCTATCCTTTTTGGACTGCTTGTGATCAAATGCTTGGGATTAACGACAAACATGGTTTCCCCAAATCTGAGCATCGCCAATTCCAAGAGGTCCCATGTGCTTCCGTTTTTCAGTGCGGCCTCATTCCGAACATATTTTTTCTAATATTCAAAAAAGCATATATTTCTATGGCAGTTCTCAAGTTTGGACCAGTTTTTCACCGCATTTTTTGGGGGGTTTAAGGATGCTGTTTCTACGGATTTCTACGGCAATCGGAGAGATTCACTTCCAGGGGTTGGTTTGCCTGTCCCATTTTGGGAATATTGGACATCACCTGAAATAGTAGCCATAACAAAGACCATATACCATTCATGGTTGGGTGATGTGACCCATGGGGACATCAGTCATGACCCATGACTTCTCCAATCAGGTGCTGCTTGGTCCCTGGTTCGAGAATGATGGCACCCTTCGGCTGCACAGCGCGGGCTCGGAGGTGTGCTGACTGTGAACAAGTGGCTAAGAACCATATTATGATAGTTACATATATATAATGTAATTTTTTTTTTCCTTTAGGCGTCCAGATGCTCTCGCAGCGGCCTATTGCAGGGTCCGTTTCCATGTGCTCACCGCTTAGCCACAAAATCAGCCCCTATATGTCGGCCATACTGTGTGGCATTCAGTTGTGCCCACAGCGCCAGGTCTGATGGCTGCGGTTCCTGTGCAGAGCACGAATGGAATGAACGAATTTCATGGGTCAAAATTTCCGCCATCGCTGCGCACATGGCAGGAGGGTACTCTTTTAATGGCGATGTTCGCCACGACCCCGATGCATCTACCCCGATGGCGGAACTTCTGGGAAGTTCGCTGCACACTCGCCATCGGTGCAGGGCCAAAATCATATTCGGCAAATTCAGCAGCAACAGCTGCGTCGGCTTTGGAGTTGGAGCACCCAGAAGTCCTTGTGCAAATCGGCACGTCTCTACTGCCGGATGTTGTAGGAGCGCTTCCATGATCGGGAGCTTCCAGATGCTTGGGGATGTCGGTTTTGGGGGCGGTGCTGGATGTTCTAGCAACCCACACCCGCCCGTGACCATGAGCTCCATGAAGGCTTGCAGCGCGAAGATGAGGAGTTCGTTGCCAACACATACTTGGCATAGCTCCCGAATTCGAAGACTGAAGAGTCCCCATAGTTCATCGGCACTTCGAATCGGTCGCGGGCCGCGACCGTCCTCCAGCTGGTGCTCCCTTGCTGCTGTCCATGTTTCGCAAGGCGGTCCAGCTACAAATGCTACCACCTTTCGATCGCGGATGGCAGCAAGCCAGTACTGGCGCGTCTCCGCATTCCGCGCGTCACCATACTGCATGTCGATGACGATGTCCATGGAGACAATGTGGAGCACATAGCTTGAGGTGTCGTGTTCCCGATGGAACTGTTCCAGGAAAAACTGTAGGTCCCCTGGTCGACGACGACCGGAGTATGCGTGTAACAACACGCGATGTCGTCCAAATCTCCTCGGTCCATTGCTGGGCAACGACTGTGTGGGAACTTGTCGGCATCGCTGCTCCAGGGTCGCAAGATCCTCTGTGCCCTGTGCACGGTGCGTCTGTGCTTCCAGGAAGGGGAAGCGTGCCGGATCGCGTAGTCGCACAAGGGTCGCTCGGAGATCTGTCAATGTGACACCAGCGAACTGCTCGTCATCATTGGTGAAGGCGTCCTCGAAGAAGTCGAGAGTGCTTGTCCATATAGTCCAGGAAATGGGGTGGTCCATGGCAAAGGTTCGCACAATCTGCTCAAACTTCTCCAAGCACATGCTAGGTTCCACCAGGTCTGTGAGGAAGACGAAGAAGTTATGGTCGATCTTCGGATCATCACGGAGCCTCGGTGTCTGATTGTGAGGGCCTTCAGCTTGGATGGGCGGCAATAGGCGATCGTGTTGATCAGTGAGCTCTCGGTCATTCGCTGAGCCAGCCCCTGGAGCTACCTCCATACACGGTAATGTAATATAATGTAATATATAATGTAATATATAATGTAATATATAATGTAATATAATATAATATAATATAATGTAATGTAATATAATGTAATATATAATATAATATAATATAATATAATATAATATAATGTAATGTAATGTAATGTAATGTAATGTAATGATATATAATGATATATAATGATGTATAATGATGTATAATGATGTATAATGATATATAATTCTGGGTTAAAGCATGTTAAACCAACCAGGTACCATTTTTGGATAGATTAGATTCACTGTAGATATCTGTCGATGGCAAACCGAATTGGGATGTGGATCTGGGGGCAGGTCTTGCAGCTGCAGAAGGCACTCTTCAAGCTGGGCTATCTGCCAGTCTCCTGGCAGGATCTTATCCCCCTTGGAACATCCCCAAGAAAACCATAGGAATTTCCGACGTTTACACATATTGGGAGACATTTTAGTGTGTGTTTAATATTGGATGATACCCTCAAGTTGGGAGTTGTTTTTTGGATTACAATCCAGACACGGCCATCGGTGTCTTATGGTTTTGCCATGGCAACTGACGTCTGTTTCCATATCAGCGAGTCTTGTTCCTAACATCAACAGGAAAGCCAGTGGCTCAACTGCCATGGCACAACTGCCATTGCGACAAGTCACTCTGGGCACCCTGGGCCCCGGCTTTCGGGAATCTGCCTGGTTTGACCAAAGGAAATGAGCTGCACGGGAATCTTTGATACAATCACAGCCGCTCAGCCGAAGGATGGCGGCTTGTTGGTGGCAACGGTTGCGAAGTAAGCAGCCGCGTCTGTGGAATGATTCAGTGATTGGTCCCTTCCAAACTTTGCAACACAAGTTGTACATATATAATCATCATGGAGCAAATATAATTTTGAGATTGGACAATCTCCATAGAAAAAAAACTCAGTTTTAAACTGAAATTGCAGATATTCTATATATCTACTTCAAATTCAACATGTAAATAGTAAACCTTGAGTGTAGGAGCTTCCCCGGGAAAGACACCCCCTTTCTTCCAAGCAAGGAAGAGGCGGTCAAAGAATTTCAACGCTTCAGCGGTTTGAAGGAGGACCCTGGACAGGGGGAAGTCGGGACGATGGATTCCCCAGGAACATGCCCAACTATCAACCCCCAAAGCACCAGAATTAGCTGGTGAAATGGTGAAACACCATGAACCACCCAAAAAATGAATGGCAGAAAAGCAGGATTCTGGTGTAGAATTATCTGGTAAGATGATACTCGGTTGATATTCCTTGATGTGGACAGTTCTCTTCGATTCATCGTGTGCGCGCCGAGACCGATGTCTGCGACGCGAGCACCAAAGGCTTGGTGACCGCGCAACGCTACGATGTTGAGGGGGATGTGATATCAGGTGCCCGGGCCGAATGGCATGAAATGATGGGGATATGTATGACGATGATATATTACCATCTGGTTATTTAACATAGCCATGGAAAATCACCATTTTTAATAGGTAAACCATCTATAGATGTGCCATTTTCCATGGCTATGTTAAATAACCAGAGGGTAACTATAATAGGCTGAATATATGTATTATTATATATTATTGGAATATCAAGGCTATAATCGGGATATGATGGGTATATATAGCATGGGAGATGATTCATAACTATTCAACTTAGTATGATAGTTGGATGCGTCTGAAACTGAGGTGTACCCCCAAAACAACCGTTGAAATGGGTCAGTGCCGATAAACCAGGGATGCCCGGTCATCCTGTTTTCAGATAAACCACAATGGTGCTACAGCATCTATTGAGAGATATTCACTAAGTTAACAGTTGGGGAATTGGGATATGCATATATTTTAAGTAACTATTAGAATGGTGATGCCGAGTATGAATAGTTGGGGTATCAAGAGGATCTCTCAGAAAGTGGTGATATGATAATTATGATAGTGAATGACAAGTTGTCATTTTACTTCGTTTTTTTTTTTGTATGGCAGTTTACTTTGGATATCGTTGGATACTGACATGAGCTTCCAGAGATGATCCTGAAACAGGAAGCCTCAGTTACCCATAGGAAGCAGCGGAAGATTTTTACCACCAATTTGTTGCATCATTGTAGTGGGATTTTACCAACTATCTTTCTTGGGGGTGAGTATATTTATACTGTACCTTACATATTTATATTATTGTAATATTACATAATGAGATATGAGGTACACCCCATTGATACAGAATTCCTCACTTTTTGCTGGACAAACTTCGACGGAAATCTGGTGGGGCCATTTGTTTTCATGGTCAAAAAAACCCCTACAAACCATGGTCAAATTACTCACTCATCCCCAATTTCTCCAAGAAAATCCAAGAATCCAGGCGGTGCCTTGCCGCATTTGGGTCCGCTGGTGACCTATGCCGTCGGAGCCCTTCCGGGCTATTTGCAAGGTGTGCCTTCAAACATGGTCCAAGTGTCAGGGGAAACTCGGGTGGTTCCGGATTTTTTCTCTTCAAACATGGATTTTTCGACATACCACTCTGGTTTTGGAGGTTTCATGGATACTTTCTATTTTCATCCTTGAGGAGTATAGTATATGTGATGAGCCCATTGACTTTCATATTTCTTCGATGGGTGGTTCACGCACCAAGGAGTATACCGTTACTTTACTACATAGAATATTTTAGTACTCAAGAAAACGTGTTTTTGGCAGTCCTGAATTGCACTTTACTATAGAATATACAGGGTCCAGCCTTCGGCAGGTGAATCGCACCAGTGGTCACAGATAGAATACAGGTTTAATACTCACCGTTGGGGTTTCTCATGAAAGTGTACTAAATCATGTTTTTTCACAATACATCATACAGATAGAAACATCAAACAGTAGCATATTATATTGAGATATATTGAGCTGCCAAAATGAGGATTTTCTACCAATGATCATCAAAATGAGCGAAGCCACTTGATCATGCGGAGAGACCCCAGGCAGGAGATGTAAGGAGCACTGTGAAATAGATCGTATTTCCCAAACAAATGGTTAATCATTGATGATTCTCCCTAGTTCTATCGGTTTACATCCCTACTTTATCCAAATCATACGTCTTTTTTTTGCTGCGGGATGAAGCTGGTAAGAGCTTCCCAGCCACATGATGGTTGATCGTGGTATAGTTTCTTCTGGCAAACTGGCAAACATTCGGGGTTTTACTCAATAACAATAGGCAAGAATGAAATCAGCAAATAATTCTTGGCTAAATGGGTCTGTAACATTCTGTAACACTGTTTACATACTGTTTGCTTCTCATCTCCCCATGCAAAAAAACAATGTGCCAAATTGGCTATCATTTCAGCCATAAAAATCACATCCCCATGATTCTGAACGATGGATATTTCTAATTATTTCTATAGGTAAATCATGGTCAATTACCCTCTGGCAATGACTAACATAGCTATTGAAAATGGCCATTTATAGTGAGTTTTCCCATTAAAACTTGTGTTTTCCATAATTATGTTAGTTTACCAGAGGGTAACGTATCTATGATATCTATATGTGTTTCCATTTGTTTCGAATCACGAATAATGGGAATCATGGGAATGTGCAAATAATTTGATTTACCATCATTTACCAGCATTTATCATTTATCATAATTTGATTTACAAATTATTGGTATATTCCCATTGCCCATGATTTACCCAGGATTTACCCATCATCATGTACCCATCATATGGCCCATCATGAACCAGTGTAGCTAAAAATGGGCCATATGAGTTTTTTTTTTTAATCATTAAGCTATACATTAAATGGGCCATCATTAACCCATCATTAACCCATCATTACCCAGTGACCATCATGAAACATGGGTAAAAATATCCCGTTTTTTTGTGCCACGGATCTGTTCGATCCTCGTTCCCCGTTCGGGGAGGTGCCCATCGCTGTGAAACTTTGAGGGAGATCGATGAAGCCATACAGCAATGGGCCGAGGTAGTAGGCCGGGAGTTCATGGGGGTTTCATGGGGATTTCATTTGAAACCGGATTCAAATCGGATATAACTGAGATGGTTAAATCCCATTAAATCTCAGTTATATCCGATTTGAATCCCAATTATATTCACTTAAATCAGGACTTCATGGGATTTAAGTGGATATAATTGGGATTCAAATCGGATATAACTGAGATTTCATGGGATTTAAGCGGGATTTAACCATCAAGTATATGATAGGGATGTAAAGCATCAACATGGGGATATAATTGATAAAGGATGGTTAGTTCATCATTGAAAGATGGGAGCGGATCAGGAAATCAAAAAACAAGTGTAGGACCTGTTCAACAGACGGTACAACTATATACATAATCATCCTGAAGTAGATAGAATATATATTTTTTCTAAGAACTATACTATTCCAATTTCTTGAATTATTTTCGAACAATACAGGAAAATTAGAAATTAGAAATATCCAATACAGGAAATGTCAGCCACAACTATTCCAATTTTAGTGAGGATTGTTTGACATCTCCACTAGAATTCGAAGTACCGGATCCATCCCGAACAACTCCCATCAAACATCACCGCTTCGACGCCAAAAGGTCTTACGTTTCAACGGTGCCTGGGCTTTTTTGACAACGCTTGGCCAGTGACGCCAGGGGTGCATCCCACGAATCCGATCCTAATTGGGGGAGTAAACCATTTACTAAGTGGGATGCACCCCCAAGTCGTGAACCGCAAAAATAGGAAAGCTTGAAACCTGAAAAAGATGGGGAAACATCATTATTTATCAACCTTCAGAAGCATTTCTTCATCGTTTTGAGTATGAAATGTACGAGCTCCTGATTCGTGGATGGCAAATCAATGCGCGCGATGCGCAAGCGATGTTTTTGTTGCTTAAACCCTTGATTTGGTCGCTCAAGTCCATTTGTTTTCTGGTTGAGTCTCATATTTCGTTGGTTTAATCCAATTCACATCATCATAGGCAAAACCATGGAATTTGTCACCATAACGGCCTTTGTTTTTTTTTTTCAGTTCTAGCACCTACTACTCCCTAAAAAATAGAAACGTAGTTTATCACTATATTTTAGTAGACTTTATCACTATATTTTTTTTAGAAACGTGGTTTATCAGATTTTATCACTATATTTTCGTAGATTTTTTCTACCAACTTCTACCCTCTGGTAAACATACAAAAAGCTATTGAAAAATTGCCATAGAAATAGTTGATTTTCCCATTAAAAATGGTGATTTTAACCGACAGCACCGATTTTTCAACCAACCTCCACCGCTCAGGACCAGCGAGCTGCACGCGCGGCTGCAGGTGTCCTTCCAGCCGCTGGGGGCGCCGCCGTCGCCGGGTGGGCAACTGGCACAGGCGTGGCCAGGGCACTGCAGATATCTAGATACGTCGAGATTGGATATAGGAAGAACGAACATATGAATATGCATCATTATGCATCTATATACATGTGTGTATATATATACACATGTATCTATACATATATATATACACGTGTATATATCATTATATATCTATAGATACACATCATTATAGATATGTTGGTGTATTTTCATGTGTAGATGATATGTAGAATCCATGATGGACAGCTGTTTTTTTCGCCAGGCTTCTGCGCAGGGCATCGTGTCCAGGGGCTCAGCATGGGGAAAATCGTCGAAGCAAAGGGGGGACGTTTCCAGCCATGGAGCTGATGAAAGCAGAGGTTATTTGGAGATATTCAATATATTCACCACATCTTGTAAGATCTTAAAATGATTCAATGAATTCAAAATCATGATTCAATCTCTATGTATATATATATATGCATATTATATGAATATGTACATACATAGATGTACACATCTAACATGTGATAGAATGATTGTACATTTGATACTTATATATATATATTCAACACACACACATATATATTCATATTATCCACCAAAAGCTGGGATCATTGTCAAGATAACATTGATACTATCCACATTGCTCCCCTCCCTTCGGAGTCTGAGGTTGGACTCTTCTGAACGTTGGCTCTTGCGCAGCCAGAAGAAGCCTCAGAGGTTCCGCAAGGCCCGGGTAGACCTTGGTGGATGCATCAGCATCGCTGGTGCAGCACCAGGACAGGGCTTTGTTCTCAACTGGATGCCTCAGATGTTTTTGGGGGAACTGAAGCCAAGGCTTCCAGTGGCATGATATATGCCAGAGATGTTCTGCCTGTTCTCGCGGGTTGACGGAAGATATATGGAAAAAAACATTTGATATACTGTATATGGCACTGTTGACATGTGTAAACTTGATTTCTTGGTTTGCCTTTCACCCCAAGGGCGCGGCTGTTGCAGTGATGCAACTGACTCTGGTAGCGGCTGGGGGATCGGCTTGGAAATTTCCCATGGGCCAGGCCTTCTACCTCTATCCGGTGGTTCTACATGAGATGGGCCACTGCAACTTGGCAAAAAAGGTGGTGGTTTGAGCAGCCGCGCTGCCTAGTGGTGAATGGAGGGAGCTGTCAGGAGCGGATCAAAAAATGGAGCAGCTATGCTAGTCCAGATCGGGTGGGACGCCCATTTGATGCCATGCCGGCAATTGGTAGATAGTTTAACTTTGCAGCCATTTGCAAGGTTTGAAGGTGGAACCAGACCCATTTTGGGATCCAACATCGCCCAGCAAGCAAGATCTGCATGATTCTCCCCACCAAGACCCACAACGTTCGGTTTTGGCATCGCTACTCGATCCATGGATCCATGCTCGATGGCAGTTGAAATCAAGGAGCCCAGCCCAAGGATCGATGCTTTGGGGCCCAGTAGTTTGGATTCCTCTCCAGGTCTGGGAATGAAACACAGCTCCAACCGTGATGATGTGATGTGGCCCTATTACAGGCTGGCTCGAGGATGCAGGGATGGGACGTCACCTGATGGTGCTCAAAAAGTAGTCGATTTTGGTAGAGATGGTACCTGGAACAGATCGCCTCTAAGATCTTCCAAGTATCTAAAGTTTAGATTTCCTAGCCAGACTCACCTGTACATGTTTTAAGTTAAGTTTTTGAATCTAACATAATGCCTACCAAAGAATCCCATAGCTTGGGTGGGAGGAAGACCATCGGACTCTTAGAACAAGGTCAGCAGACATGATCACTGGGATCTGACTTCTTTAGCATCTTGAGGTTTCGAGGACAACTTTCACAGGCGATGTGAGATTCTCCAAATTCTTACGGAGAGGAATCAACCATTGAACCATGGTGATGTAGGATTTTGTAGGGGGAAAACGTTTTCCATTGCCATGTTTGATGACCTTCAGAAATAGTTCGATGATGTTCCTGTATCCCAACAGAAACATAACATTTGATATCGCTAATCCCAAGTATTTGTTATAGAATCTTTGATTACCAGAGAGTACACCACTACTTTCCATTATTCAACACATTGAACTTAAATCACTATTAATAGCTATTTTTTTTTTGGTTATTCCATGTTATTCCTATCTTTAAACATTAGCTATTAACCATCGTTAACCATCATTAACCATCATTGATATGTTATTCCTATTGTTAATGCTATTATTGTTATTATTATTGTTAATAGGGATATTCCATATGAATAATAATAGTTATAACATGGATTTACCATCATTAACCATCATTAACCCACCATTAACCCACCGTTAACCATCCTTTTCACTCTTGGATCGACGTCTCAGGGAGGACCTCTGGACATTATCCGATGCCGACAAAGCGGCGGCACGGGGAATGCGCCACGGGGAAACTCGGTGGAAGCTTAGGGGCTTAGGGACTGGGCTGGAGGATGAGGCTGGGGTATGTCACATTATACATATACATAATATATATATACATATACAATAATTATACAATATAGATATGTATGTATATATTTTTTAATATACATAATATGTTTTTTTTTTATATATATATATATACATATGCCATATGATATATACACCATAATAAAATTATATGTTTCGATATGATATAAGGTGACATAATATGCCATGACATGATATAGTATAACATGGGTTCATAGGGCATTTGATAGTTGCAGGTACGTCGAAAGGACGTCTCCTTTTGATATCACGAGCGTTGGACAGGTGTCTTCGTTGGCACCTGACTTATTTGTATGCTCCAATCGCCCCCTGCACGAACAATTGATCATGAAACGCTCGGAAAATATGAACAACACAAAAAGACCCTGGGAATCGGAAACAGGGGTTGACTCAAACATGCACATACATCCTCACACATGTGCCATGATCAAAATTTGGATGTAAGTTTCCATTAACAGTAACATATGGATTGGGGATCACCATCATCCCCGAGCATTAAACACCCCCCTGGAAACCATCGTTTAGTAATAGGGGATAAAACATCTATTTGGAACCATCGAATGGATGTGTTTCAATATTTTCACGGGGGATGAGATTGATCCATTGATCCCCGTTGTGCACAGCACCCACAGCACCAAGGATTGCACCTGCAACGCCAACATCTGCGTCATCTCTTGAAGGTCCAAACCTTTTCAATGTTCGTTTGAAATCGGTGGCGATTCCTCGAATGTTTTCAATTGTTCGCCACGGGAGCCCCAAGTGCTACCCGAAAAGAGCTACGACACAAAGAGTGGCGGGATTCCATGTCGGTGGCGAAATGGGCCATCGATGTGATTGCTGTTTGAATCGTCGAATATCGTCGAAACCTTGTGACCCTGACCATGTCGGATCCTGGAAAGCGAGTAACGCCAGCTGCCGCGGAAAATGCTAGGTCAGTATGGGTCAGATTTGGGGTGCCCAGGGAAAAAAACAGTTGATACGAGTTTTGACAACACATATCCATCACATATTCTTAGGATTTCTTTGGTCAGAATTTTGAACCATATCATATCCATCCATATCCCACATCCCAAACATATCCAAACATCATGGGGACATCACAAACAGATGGCCGTTTCAATTCTTTTCTTCCAGGTTCAGGCCAGCAGGTGTGCTCTCCCCTCACTGACCCGCTTAAAGATACGTCTATGGCAGAGTCTATGGGCTAACATGGATGATGAACATTGATAAAAAATACACAGAATGTCCATAAGACGAATCTTGCTCCAGAAAGGTATCCCATTTTTGGGTCGCCATCCTATCTTTTTCAAGTTTTCACAAACGAAAACCATGTCACCGCAGAATTTTTGTCGCCTCGCCTTGGTTTTTGCGCCTGAAATTTATAGGTGGGATGCAGTGGGTTGCCGCAGACATTGGAAGAACATGCCTCTGGGAACAAAAAATCCTCAACCCAACACAGAAGGGACATATTTTGAACATGTTTATAAGATTTTATAAGTTCATAGTTAATGGATGTTAATGGCAGATATCCTCCATAAAAACATATGAAACATGTAACATAGCTATTGCTATGCGACTTCCTGCTCAGATTTTTCGGGAAATTTGGGGTCAGCCTCGCTACAGGTCTACCACGATGCCCATCCAAAAGCTTCACGCCCGTCAAGTCTTCGACAGCCGCGGCAACCCCACGGTGGAGGTGGTGAAATGTTGCGAGGATGTGGGGGTTCCATAAATGGTGGTACCAAAAAATGTATGGTGTATACTGGAGAATGACGGAATGGATTAGCCATGTATGCCCGATTTTTCCAGTAATAATCAACATCTTGGCTGGTGAAATCCTCTATGTTTGCGACACATCGAATTCTTTCTTCGTTGTTAGCAGGTAACTTCATCTAAATTCATCTAAATGACAATTCTTTGCAGGGTTAAATCATTATTTTGTTGGACAAATCCCTGAACATTTTTGTTGCGTAAATATGCGTAAATCCCAAGTTCAAGTTTTGGTTCCTTTACTTAGTTCAACCGCCATTTTTCCGGGCAAATCCACTATTCTGTTGGCATTGGTTAATCGTTGGCAAAACCCTCATCTTGAGAGTTGAACAACCACTTCAGCATCTTTTCATCGTGAAATCACACGTGTTGTTGCTTTTTATTGGTTCAATCGTCAACACCAGTTTTTACCAGTTCACCATTTTATGGCTTCAATCACCAGTTTTACCACTGAAATCACCATTTTTGCCCAAGAAACCACAGAAAACCCCAGGTTTCCACCGAAGTCAGGTGGAGGTGACCACCGAGCAGGGCACCTTCCGCGCGGCCGTGCCCAGCGGCGCCAGCACCGGCGAGAACGAGGCCTGCGAGCTGCGGGACGGTGGCAGCGACTACATGGGCAAAGGCTGCCTGGGCTGCCTGGGGTGGAAAAGGGTACCCTCTGGTAATGACTAACAGTTTGCTATTGAAAATGGCTATTGAAATAGGGGATTTTCCCATAAATAGCATGGTGATTTTCCATAGTTATGTTAGTTTACCAGAGGGTAGGTTTTTTTTGCAAAGAAAGTGGGAATCTTAGGAGGAAATTCAGGTGAAGTGGTCAAATTTGAGGAGGATTGAGGTAAAAACAGGTGGGATGGGGAAAACCAACTAAAGTTTTTGGGGACATATTTTGGCGCCAGAATCAACGAAACATATATTGAAAAAACGGGATGTAATCAGAAACTAGGAGATTTGGGTGAGCCAACTAGATGGCACGAGATGGTGGCATACTCTAAGTCAATCTCCCAAAAAGATTTAGATGACCGATCTCTATATACTGTACATACATTGCAGAATACAAAACATCATATAACATCCGACGCTTGAATTGTGGTAAACTCGCCACAAAATTGAAGCTATTCCATCCTATTCCATGGCCGCCATCGCTGCTTAAAAACACCAGGTGTTTCCAAGGCGGTGGACAATGTGAAGTCCAAGATTGCGCCGGCCCTGTTGGGCAAGGAGCGCCAGGAATGTGTGTTTTCCAATGAAAACACCTGATAAAAATCGGAGACTTCTAGGGAAAATCGTGGTGATCATCATGGAGATAGACTGAGATACATGGATGTAATGGGCATATACCCTCCTGGTGTCATCAAACATGGCCAGCTGGGAAACCACCGAACTAAATGGAGGTGTCTAGCCGGGAAAATCATGGAACTAATTTAACTAAATAGTAAATTTCCATTGCTACGTTTGATTTGGATTAGCAGAAGCTATAGAATGAAATAGATGTAGATATAGATGTGGATAGGATGATCCAGATGGATGAAAGGATAGACTGATAGATAGACATTTGAGTAGAGCACAGGAGGATGGATGGACAGATATAGATTCATCCTGGAGATCTGGAGGATGCGTTGCAGACACCGAAACATCATGACCTCAAAAATATAGTCACCACATCATTTAGTACGACTCCATCTAGATCTGTTTTTCTTAAACTCATTTAGTTTGGCAAGAAACACCATGAACCATCATCAACTATATACAATTATATATATATATATACGTATATATACTGGTTGGTGGTTTGGAACATTTTTTAACTTGTTAGTTATTTTCCCCAATAGTTGGAATGATGATCCAATCTGATGAGCATATTTTTCAGGGGGGTAGGTCAACCACCAACTAGTATTAATTAAATTCAATACTATTACACCATCTTTTGGCAAAGATCTACCCTCTGGTAAACTAACATAGCTATTGGAAATCACCATTTTCAATGGGAAAATCCACTATTTCAATGGGCCATTTTCAATAGCAAACTGTTAGTTTACCAGAGGGTAGTTTTCAGCAGGTTTCACCAGCAGGAGCCTTTGCCCTGAGGACCCTGCAGATCAGCCGGCCATCGACAAGGTGATGTTGGACTTGGATGGCACTGAGAACAAGACCAACCTCGGGGCCAACGCCATTCTAGGCAGAAAGGGTGGCGAAAACCATGGGAACATCTGGGGAAAAGGGAAAGCATGTTTCATTTTCGGGCGAAGTCATGCAATGATGAAAGATTGGGGGGGATTCACCACGAATTCTTTAAGTGATCTTATCTTTGAAACTGTCAAAACGGCGTTTTTTGAGCCACGCGATTTTAAATCCACAAACATTTTTCATTGAGTGTAACATTTTTAATACGTTTCCATTTTTCTTGGTTAAACCAAATACCCTCTACTTTGAAAACATAGTAACACAGCTATTTGAAATCACCATTGATGAAATAGGTAAATCATCGAACTAAATGGGCCATCTATACCATAGCAAACTCTTCGTTTACTGGAGGGTACGGGTAAACCCCAGTGTATTTCCATTGAATTTCATTCCCATGAACTCATAATCACCAAATCACCATTCAACCATTCATCTATAGAATTGAATCCTAGCAAATCCTATTAACAATCAGTATAAATCACCATTAGATGCCATTAAAGGCCCCTTTCATCATGGTTGCTTCACCCCGGGCTCCAACTTGTAGGTGTTTCCATGGCCTGCTGTCGAGCCGGAGCGGCACAGAAGGGCATCTCTCTGTACAGGCTTTATAGGGATTCATGGTGATTTTTAGATGGGTTAATGGTGGTTAATGGTGGTTAATGGTGATTTTTACCATGACTTTTTATGGTGATTTTATATGGTGTTTTCATGGTGATTACTGGTGATTGATGGTGATTAATGGTGATATCATGGGAAGCGATGGGAACATCCACTATCAATGGAGGGTTTTTTTCGCTGAGAAAATCCACTATCTTGGGGTTGTTGAGTCGGTGATGTTTGGTTAAAAAAACAACCAATATGGGAAATACACGAATCTTGGGCAAAACCATAGAATGTAGCTTTTTTCAAACTTGTTTGTTGCCTTAAGCCAACAAGTAAATGATGCTGGTTTATGCTGGTTTTATCCGAACAATCAATGGTTTGTCATGGAAGTAGCTATATCTTAAACATATGTCTGTTGCAACACCCAGTTTAAAATCGAAGTTGGTCATATCCCACTAGTAACTAGTGATAGATTGAACCTTTTCTGTCTTTTTGGAGGGTTGCTTTGTACATCTTTATACTGAGGGTTTATGGGAAAAAACTTGGGAGAACGCCTCTAGACTTGATGGTTCATCATCATGACGTTGAACTGGCCATATGGGGTCCGATAGTTTTGGTCAAGGCCAGTGAACCCGGGAATAAGCCGACCTTTTCTTAGGGGCTTTGAGTGTTTTTAGGGGGTTGGTTTGTGTACCAACGTTTGACCATACAAGCCACCAGCTTGCTAAGAAAATGGCGATGTTGATCAGCTCCATGATCCACATGATCCACATTATAATCCCCCAGAGAAGTTCAGCTATGGCTTCTCCAGGCACATCAATGAGCTGGCTGGAAAGCCACCCATGTGCATGCCCGTGCCATGCTTCAACGTCATCAATGGTGGGGTCCATGCTGGCAACTATCTGGCCTTTCAGGAGTTCCCAGGGAGTTTCTTTTTCTTACTGGTGCGAAAAAACGTAGGGTTGCTGGATGGGTTGCTGGGGGTTGCTGGGATGATTATTGGTAGTTTGCCAGTGGATCATTCCCGAAAATTCCCTGCGTTTAGCACCAGTAAGTTTTTGGGAATCTTAGGGATGGGATGATTTCTCCACTACAGATGGCGACTTTCATCGATATCTTGAAGAAATGACCAGATTTTAGAGAGTTTCTTGTAATTGCAGAAGGCCCAAAGTTTGAATACCAGAACATGATACTAGGTTATACAAATACTAGTCACCCAATAATCCATTGTATGGAAGAATACCTATTCCAGTTCTGCTTCTATACGATTTCCAGTCATCTCTGGCCTTGGGGACCAGATCCGGCCGTAGCCAGGAGTTTTTCCTGATTCCAGTGGGGGCAACCACTTTCGCCGAAGCCATGAAGTTGGGATCTGAAACCTATCACAACCTGAAGGCCATCATCAAGAAGAAGTATGGCAGCTGGAACCGAAGGGCTGGTAATGGCTGCATGGTGCCCGGATTGTTGGGGGAAAACCGAAAATATCCGAACACCTTTTTTTCCGTGTCAGTGGCTGCATGACCCCGCACCCAAAGGTTGAAATGATAAAACTTGAAGGTGATTTCGAGGTGCATGCGGATATCTTGACAATGCATATTTCATGCTGCTCATGGGAACCAATTTTTGGAATGCATCACCCGCTGCGATCCAAATTATCCAACCAGATTCCTGCATCAAACATGGGAGATGATTTAAAGCCAGCAGTACTTTCAGCCCACAACCACCTAGCTGGCTGGAACACCACGGTCTGTGGAAACACTTGGGGAAAATGCTCTACAATGCTCTACAAATGGGTGTCTTTCAGTCTTGATACCCTTTACCAAGCAAAAATTCTACACGACATCATCAACAGATCAGACTTGCCAACAAAGATCGTGATGTGCGCGTGACCAACAAACTTGAGCAAGCAATTTTTCCCATTTACCCTCTGGTAAACGTTTACATAACTATGGAAAATCACCATTTTCAATGGGTAAATCCGTAAATCCACCATAAATGGTCATTTTCAATGGCTATGTAACAACTTACCAGAGGGTAGTACAGATGATCTTCCGATTTCCTGGAATCCCTCATTACTTGCTGGTTCCACCCCATCGGAGTCGTGGCTTCCCATATCCCATGAATCCAACCACGGTTGAACAATTTGACAGCACGTTAAATCCCAACCATCTAACCATATCAAACCATATCTTAGCCATATCTTAACCATATCAAACCATATCTTCACCATATCAAACCATATCTTCACCATATCAAACCATATCTAACCACTCACCATGTTTGATGACACCACTCAAATCCCATGTCCCGTGAAATCCCCATGAATTCCGATGAAAATTATTCCCAACTCAAATCTCGGTGATTTTCCCATTAAAATCATATAAACTCATATGAAATCATGGTGAAATCCTCATTTCCAACGGTTAAACTTTGGTGAAATTCTCATTTCCATTGAAACCATGGTGAAATTCTCATTTTCCATATTTTTCCAACGCTTTGAACCACTGCCTTTTTGGCCCCAAATTTCCGGCCAAGTTTTTTTTTTCAGGCCTCGATTCCACCGCGGTGGGCGACGAGGGAGGCTTCGCGCCAGCTGTGGCGGACCCTGAGGAGGCTGCCCTGAAAGGGCAGCTGGGGGGTTGAACAAATATGATATGATTATTATATATGATAGTCAGCAAATATGGTGTTACAATCATATTGAACCATATTTATAATGATATTATGATAATGATTGTATGATAGTATGATAATGATAATGATATATGGTTATATGATTATATTATGATATTATGGTATGGTATGATTATCATGATAATTATTTTATATTATTTTATGGTATAATGATGACCAATCATTTGTTATGGATTATAAATTATTATAACAAATATGATAGTGATTGTTATGGTATGATAATGATAAATGATACTTGTAATATCTTGTAATATATTCTCGAAAGGTATGTTCTATGTTCTGGTTGGTGGTTTGGAACATGAATTTTATTTTCCATAATATATTGGGATAATCATCCCAACTGACTAATAGTTTTCAAGATGGTTAACACATGTTAAAACCACCAACCCAAATATAAACGGATAATGAGTGTAATGGTATGATAATGGTGGTTATGATACTTATACAAACTATAGTTCTTATGAAATTATGAATAGCAACATGGATTAAATAACTACTAATGGTTGGTTGTATATAACATTTGATAGTTATAAGTATTTGATGATGATAATCATTAGTAGTTGGAACAATAATGATAGTTATCGAGTTAGAATGATACATATAAACCAAACAACTACTAACGATAGTGTTTATGGTGATATCAACAGTTATAATGATAGTATGATAGTATGACAATGACAGTCATACAAACCACTAACATCTACTGAGTCCAGCTCTAGTTCTTCTGAATTTATGATTATTAGGCATGCGGCATGATGAAACTGTAGTGATATAATGAATGATATGACTCATGATTAATGATAGTGATTATTGATGAATGATGTGGGCTTAATATCATTGGGATATCGGGCTTGCTGAAAAATCCACCATCTATAGATGATGTTCCAAGCTAGAAACCTCCATTTAGTTCGGGAATTCTGATGGGAATGCCATTGTTAGTTACTGTAAGAAAAACACGATAGATCTTGATAAATTCCAATGTTAGATAAATTAAGACTTATGATAGCAAGAAGCATTGGAATTTATCAACATGTTATCATGATTTAATGCCAGACATGAGAAACATCATCACTCACAGCCTGTCCTTTCAACCACTGGTTGGTTGATGCAGGGACCAGTGCTTGTTTTTATGGTATACCCTCTGGTAATTTAACATAGGTATTGAAAATGGCCATTTATAGTGGATTGTCCCATTAAACATGGTGATTTTCCATTGCTATGTTAGTTTACCAGAGGGTACACACCAGGCCCAAAAAAAACATTCCAAGTTCATTCGGTGGATCCCGGTGGAGCGCAGGGTCTACAGCTGCTGCTGGAAGCCATCGATCAAGCGGGGCACAAGGGAAAGATTCTGATCGGTTCGGATCCGGCGTCCTCGGAGTTTTGGAAGGAGAAGGAGCAGGTCTATGTGAGGAGCTCAGGGGCCCTGGATGATGGAGCTATGGATGATGATGTGTTGTGGCTATGGGTGAAACAGCCTTAACGGTTATGAAACGTGGCTAGCTGGGAAAGCTCCTAAAATGAAGGTTTGATTTTTGAAAATCATGTGTAAATGGTTTGGTCGAAGACATCGTTGAAGTCTTTTGAGCTGGATGGACAGCATTGGACTTGGGAAGTGATGGCACTGCTCTGGGGCCTGCGGTGTGGCCAAGCCCCTGTTTTGACCATCCGAAAGTCTTGCACCTTGCAGGTTCTTGCTTTGGGCCAGAGTTGTTCCACCCAAACCTCCGCAAGAAATAGATGGTAATTTCAAGTCATTTCGTGTCATTTAAGGAGATTTCCTCAGAATCTAGTTCCCCTTAGAATATTCCCCAAACATCCCAGGGGGGTTCCTTGTCCGGGAAAGGATCCGCACAGATTCACTAAGGACTTGGACTTCAAATGCAAGGAACCCAAGGCATCACAGAAGAAGTCGCGTGAAGAGATGGTGCGGGAGCCAAGAGTCGACAGATGTCGTCTTTCCCCGCCCTGAGATGTTTGGGGATCCTGGAGTTATTTTTCAGGATTTTCTTGGGGAAGAAATTGGATCATATACCAGGATTATTTCAGGCTGTTGGGACATCTTTTTGGATCTTCAGATGAGCCATTTTTGCCGCGAGGTGAAGCTTTACAAACACTTTTGTGACACCTATCCCATTGCGCTCCTCGAGGCCTGGGGATTTGTTGCTTCACAGCTGGCTTCCTGATATGCATACGGATCTGTTCGGACTCCCGTTTGATGGTGAATTTCTCCACATTTGAATGATAAATCATGGTATAATGATAAATATAATAATATCCAGACGATTCCTTGTGACCTTGTTTGTGTTTTCTGCTAAGTGGCCTTTAGAAAGAGGTCAGTTAAGGAAAACGTAGAAAGAGGTCACTTAAGGAAACGAACCAAACAGTGGCCTACCAGTGACACGCCAGTGACACGCAGGTGACACGCAGACAGCCAATCCTTAAGTGACCTTTTCAAGGCTTAAGTGATTTTTTTCAGGGTCCTAAGTGACCTCGTTTCATCCCACCTCGAAACCCCAGTGACACGCAAGTGACACGCAGTGACACGCAGAAATCATGAGATCAGCCAGGCAAAGAGGTCACTTAAGGATTCATGAAACGAGGTCACCTATGCATGATTGATCTTGCAAGTGACCGTTTGGCACTTTGGGTCTAAGTGGCTTCCATTAGAGGGCAGAAGTAACTGCCTGGATGATAATAATATTAATAATATCAATAATAATGATATAATGATATAATGATAATGATATAATATTACATAATAATGATAAATACCGTGATAAGCCTTTCAGCTTCCCTTGCTTTTCCACATGTTTACCCTTGGCTCAAGGGAAAATCCACGGCAGGACCCCTTTGCAGAGGAGGACTTCGAGGGTCACGCGCAGCTCACGGCCATCGTGGGCGACAAGGCGGTCCAAATGTCGATTTTTCACCAATCATTGGGGGTACTACCCTCTGGTAAACTAACAGTTTGCTATTGAAAATGGCCATTTATAGTGAGTTTTCCCATTAAAAATGGTGATTTTCCATAGTTATGTTAGTTTACCAGAGGGTAACATGAAACAACCATATGGTAATCCTAATGGAGATTCCCTTATGGTTGCTATCAATGAATTTGTTAATTATTCAAATGTCTATTTTTAGTATCAACGTGTATGAACCATTATTCATCAATAATTGGTGTAATTACTCAATTTTGATACCCATAGATGTGAAAAAGCCGGGGGTTTTATTCATCATTTCCCAGATCTTCTGAGGATTGCCATGATAGCTACCTGGAATGACATGACCGAAATATTTTGGATGATCTACCTTCATTTTTTGTGGGTCAACACCTCCAAACAATATATATAAACATACGTATATATATAATATAATATAATCATAATATATATATATAATATAATATAATATAAATATATATATATACACATAAAATAATGTATAATGTATATATATATATTGGACATTAGGATTCTGGGTGGATATGTACATACGTACATGCAGACAGACAGACGGACGGACGGACGGACGGACAGAATCTAAACATGATATATTTAGAATCCATATCGTTTGCATATATGGGAACACACATCTATAGATAAACCATTGCAAGGCCAAGATCAATATATGGGTTTATCTATGTACTGTATGGTTTAATCCCCCAAACTGTGATGATGTATATGTGCAGCTGACAAGATAAAATTGGTTGTGGGCTCACCACTAATATTGCCAATATATTATATGGTCTAGATCCGTCAAAAACAAAGAACGCAAGAATCCAATGGTTTCTGGTACTTCATAGCTTTCATCAGAAAGGGTCGGCCTTATATCTGAAAGGTAGTAACCGGTACTTTGGCTGTGAATCTCTCCAGGACTTGGGTGGAATCGGACGGCAGAAATCAGTAGCGTTTCTAGTGGCGTTGGCAACTGGGAAATATCGATATCCAGCCGGATACATCCGGATTTCCGGGTTCAACATTGCAACTTTCCGGGTTCTCTGATTGACCCAAAACCTTCTTTTTTTGGTCCATGAAAAACCAACCCCTCAAAAAACCACAATCCCCGGCCGAAATCTGGGGCGCTGAGTCTGAGTTTTTGAGGTGGAAATTGTGGGCGACGATCTCTATTGCACCAACACCAAGCGAGTGCAGATGGGTCTGGGGGTCTCAGGTGACGGGCTATCCGGGTCTCCGGCGTCCATGGAAGTTTGGTAGTTTTGGACCCCAAGACTTGCGCCAGAACCACTATCCGACATCCAGAAATATCCAGAACCATTTTTTTGGGACTTTTTGGACTGCATTGGATGTGAATAGTCAGGTTTCATCATCTCAAGAAGGATTTGCTATCTGTAAGAAATGAGCGATCGCTTCAAGCGCTTCTCTGGGAAAGAGCTAGGAACTCAGCAAAAAGGCGACGTCATGAGGGAACTACCAGCCATAAATAGGGAAAGACCACCAGCGAAATTAGGTGTTTTGAAGAACTTTGATATCACGAAGCAGGTGAAACACTGCATCTGTTTCACAGATGCAATATGGAGGTTTTTGTTGAAATGGGGGTACCTCTATGTATTTCATCCATTTTGGTGTGGCTTTTTCCACTATTGGGGATCTCCCATCTTAGGCCTAGACAAGAAGGCAACCAATGCCATGCTCCTCAAGGTTCGCTTCGGCGCGGTCGGCCTAGTTTTAAATGCTGACGTGGTGAAGAAGGGGAAACCTGGGGGTAAGGTGGGTATAATATGAATTTGATATTATATAATGGGATCTACAACCAACTCGACATGATAGTTGGGTTTGTCCAAACATGGGATTTTGCGTGGAAGTTGATGGTAATTTTTGATAGGGAACATGATGACCAGTGGGTGACCCTATTTTCAGACAAACCCGCGTAAACACGTTACTTTTGCAGGCGGAGAGGGGTGATTCTTGCCCACCAACCAGGGCAGTCCGGTGGAATGTGAAGACAGCTTTGGTGACCGAAACTCCTGTTGTTGAACATTGGTTTAGTATGGGATAATGATGGTTAATGATGGTTAATACTGGTTAATAATGGTTAATAATGTTAATAATCACTATTTGGTGGTTTGGAACATTTTTTATGACTTTCCCATCATATTGGGAATGTCATCATCCCAACTGACGAACTCACTCACTCCATCATATTTTTGAGATGGGTAGGTAGGTTGAAACCACCAACCCCACCAACCATTTTTTTTGCATAAGGGGCTTACCCTCTGGTAATTTAACATAGCTATTGAAAATGGCCATTGAAATAGTGGATTTACCCATTGATAGCATGGTGATTTTCCATAGTTATGTAGCAGTTTACCAGAGGGTAAATCCCATTAAATCCCATTAAATCCCATTAAATCACCATAAAAAGAATCGGACTCTGGTTGCCCTCTGGCAGGCAATCAAGGCTTGACTGGGAAAATCCACCACTAAATACCATTTTCTCCGATGATTTTCCGAGAGCGAACGAAACCTCTATCCAAAAAAAAAGGATTTCCAACCAAGCCACGTTTGAGTACCAGAGGCTATCCCCATATTACATCATATTACCATATAATATTCACATAGAATGGTTGGTGAAATTCCAAATAAATTTCCCATATTAATCCATATGATCTTATGATTATCCCATTCAATGAGCATTTTTGATGGTCAAATCCCATATAAATCCCATGGTTCACCCTTCGGGACGCCATGGGCTTTTCCAGGATCTCCTGGGGCACAGGTGAACCAAATCGGCAGCGTCACGGAGAGCATCGCGGCCTGGCAGCTCTGCAAGGACAACAAGCGTCTCGGCGAGCCCGGCTCGGACGGAAGCCTGGTATCCAAAAAGGGGTTTTCCCCTCACAGGGATGGTGCGCCCCCAGTTATAACTTGGTTAAAAAATCCTGTTATATCTACCATAAACCATAGTTATATCTACCATAAACCATAGTTATGAATACTGGTTCGTTCTATCTACCATAAACCATAGTTGAGTCACAACCATAAGGCAACTGAGCGCTATCGACTGGGGCCCCCATCCTGTACCCTCTGGTAAACTGCTCCAGTTTGCAAACTGGAAAATCACCATCTTCAAGAACAGTAGAGTAGATCAGCATAACTATGGAAAATCACATGTTTTCATGGGAATTTCACTATAAATGGCTCATTTTCAATAGCTATGTTAGTCACTACCAGAGGGTATTGCTATTTGGCCGAAGGTTGATATCCACCAAAAATGATGATATCCACCGTTTTTATCCACCTACCATATGCTGCTGGTGAATTTTTAAAGGTGCTTCCAACGAAATGTAGGTTTTGAATGGTTTTGACCCATTGCCATTTTTGTGTGAAGAAAAACTGATGAGGATACGATTGTATATTATATGTAAGAATTATATAGATATGTTGAATGATATGATATGCAAATAATGTATATAATTAAGATGATGATACACGTATGTATATATATATTATATGCATGATTATGCGTATACGTGCTGTCACACACACCAAGTACCGAGTTACCCAAGCAATGAATGTGCACCTGAGGTTATTACAGCTACAGCCCAAGAGGAAGTATTTCAGTCCCTGCAAATAGACTTATATAAGTTATTATTATATTGGGGGATGTTGATCTCAGCTTAATTTCAGTTTTTTTTGGGGGGGTTGCTAGTCTCGGGTCAACATTCGGTCTAGGGAGGATGCAACCGACAATGGATGGTCATTCAGACCCAGGCACACTCAAGGGGTCAAAACCCAGCCCGTTTCCGGTTTCATCATTTTTCCCACGACACAACCAATCCATTGAAGGGTTTACATAGGTTTTACCTGCAACAAAATCACCCAAAGTTGCAAACTGTGGTGGGTTTACCATGGTTTACCGAGTTTGATCCCCAACTTTCCCTGGTTTTGATCCCTTTTCTTCCCATCCCATCGGCCCCCACTGGGAAACCCCGCTGTAGGTGGGGCGTCTTCGTGTCTCACCGCTCGGGTGAAACGGAAGACACCTTCATCGCGGACCTCACGGTGGGCCTTGGCACGGGGCATCTGAAGACCGGCGCACCCTGCAGGCGCCCGGTTTGCGCCTGGTCGTCAATCCATTTAGGGATGGTCATCAATCCAGGGACGCAAGAATTTATGAAATACCCTCTGGTAAACTAACAGTTTGCTATTGAAAATGGCCATTTATAGTGAGTTTTCCATTAAAAATGGTGATTTTCCATAGTTATGTTAGTTTACCAGAGGGTACATGAAACAACCATGTGGTAATCCTAATGGAGATTCCCTTATGGTTGCTATCTGCACTATCAATCCATATGGTGACAAGGGGTGACCGATGACCCTATGATCCATATGGAATGGGATGACCGCAATCCATTTTATGCCAGAAATCTCCATTAGGATAACCTTTTACCCCTCAACCATCCAACTTGACCATGGCACGTCCATAGCACATTTATGGTATAGTATATAACTCACCCAATCAAGAAATACATCATCACGATTTTAGTCGGATTTTACTTTTCCATCTTTTGGGCAGTACTTTTAAAATTAGGCACCGTTTATCAACGAACATGGTTCACCCCCTAAAAAAAACATGGTTGGTACTTGGGGGATCTTGGGGGTGTATCCCACTTAGTAACTGGGTTATAGCTTATATCAACTTATAACATATATATATATAATAATATAATATATATATATACACGCATATATATATATACATATGGAATATCCCTATTTTCTATGGATATAACTGGAGTTATAACCTATTTACTATGGGATTAACCACCGATAATCATGGGATTCATGGAGATAAACACCAGGGATCAGTGGGACGCAAACGTGGCCGTCGCGAACGGCAGGAGTGAACGTCTGGCGAAGTACAATCAGCTGTTGCGGATCGAAGAGGTGTCTGAAAATGGGGAAAACCAGGCCATTGTAGTGGTGAAATATGGTGAAAATCATGAGTCATGAAATTTCGGAGCTACCCGCGCGATTTTCAGTCAAAGCTACGCTTTTTTTTTCAGAACTCATCCGGCTGATGCTTGGTATATGGTTTGAACTTTTAGCTGCAAACTATGGGGCCGGTTTTTGGCGAGTCCATATTATATGCGGATTTTTGTAGATGGAACAGATCCGAAAAGGATGAATGATTCGAATGGTGAAAAGTGACTTTTGGCTTAGACGACTTTTTGGAGCAGTGGTAATGCTCAGTTTTCTTTCACACCATCTTGGTCCCCTAACCTGAAGTCAGGTTTTGGATGGGAAATGATCCTGAGTGGAACTGGAGACGTCAAGAGCAGTGGGATATTAGTTGGATGCTATCCGGATGTGACTCTAGACATAGTGAAGATTCACCAGCAAACATGTGGGATAGTGGGCGGTTGGATCACAAACATGAGCGATTTCTCCGATTTCTTTCTGGTCAGATTTTCATGCTCCATTTATGCAACACCGGGCCATTTTTGGGGTAGACAAATGTCCAACAACACCATGGATGGGACATAACGAAAACACTCGCCAGTTAAACATTCGGTCATTTTCCAGTTGCAAACTCATGTTAAGATGATGTCCAAAAAATAGTGAATCCACGTTCGATGTTGTTTCATGATTTCCTCATCGAAAATGGCAATTATTGAAGGTCAACCAACCCTCTGGTCATCTAACAGTGTGCGACAATAAAAACATGGATGAACAGTCTACAGCTAACCAGTTATATCATTCGCGAAGGCGAATCCTTTTTCGATTCTTTGGGGGCATCAAACTGAGTTTGATCAGCGCAGGAGTCCAGCCTGAAATTCTGCGGGAAGCACTTCCGACAGCCCTGGACCTTGGAGGGCTCCGGCGGCTACTGAGAGCGGGACCAAGCGGTGCCAGGGTCGTGAAACGGCTGTGTTGGTGTTGAAAACCCACCGGCTTTGCGGCCCGGCACATGGCACAATGGTGGTCCACAAAAATGGTGGAAGGTGAAGAACAACGATATTTTGGCACTGAGTGTTTCAGTGCGCCCCCTTTTTTCGGGGCACTATTTAAGCGTGTTCAGCGTCTTTAGAGTCGTTGGCGTCAATTCAGCCAGGAGTCGAAGTGTGATTTTTTGTGTGTTTTGGACGTGAACAATGATATCTCATGGTTCTTGGATGTCAAACATGTTGATTTTCCACAAAAACAATGTGGAGAACACTTCTTTCCGAAATGGAGGAAATCCACCTGGTTGAAAAACGACCCCCACGACCGCACCTCCGTTCCCTGCTGGCCACTGGCAGAGCCGTGCAGCTCGGTGCCTCCGGTGGCATCTGCGGCGGGGTCTATCGATTGACTTCGGATACAGCACAGAAAACGAAGCAATGAGGGATGGGGGGTTGCTGCACCGAAGAGGGATGATGATGGATCACCCAAAGTGGGTGTTTTTTTCCATAGTTTTCCAACTTGAAGATTCGAGATAAGGAGGAAATGACCCAAAGAAGACGTAAAACGAATCGGAGTTCTCGATTTACGTGTGGAACAAGCAATGATATGCGTTCACAATCCCTAGCAATCGTGGTGCTTGAGCAAATATCACATCTAGACAGGGACACATCCATGAAAGTCTGCGCGTGATGTTTGGTATCGCTCCCTCTACTGGCGGTTCAAGTTTCTCAGCACGGATTGTAATACCAGTGGGGAACCAGTTAAGCAGAGCAGAAGCTGTACCACCTCACCACCGACAAGCATCACAAGAGGCCAAAAAACGGATGGATGGACAATGATGGACATGTGCATTTCTACTTGCTTTGGATGACAACAGTAAGATCAAAAAAACAGTTGTCATCCAGTATTTCAGTAGAAATGAACAGTATTTCAGTTGTCTGAACATGACAGTAGAACACTGAACAGTTCACCTGTCAGTGGCACAGCAAAATACCTCCAATCAAACCGGCCTCAGAGGCTTCGGCATTCGTAGCCATGGAGAGGTGGGAATGCCGTAGTTGGCCATGGAGCACCAGATTTTCTAGATATGATACTATGATAAATCTATGATATACTATGATACTCTATCTCAATCGCTTCACCAGTTGAACTTGTCAAAATTTCGACAGACTTGTTTCAAGCATCTTGGATTTTGGAGGTCTTGAAATGCTCAAAATGACAGTCCATTGGGAACTTCGTCCCACGAAGCGTAGAGGTCTTTCACGCACCGTAACGCTGAGAAATCACCTTCGAACCTCACTTTTGCATTGATGGCCAAGCTGGGCATTGGCGGAATGTCACATCGGTCATTCCATGGAAAATCAGCCATTTTGCTTACCATTTTGCTGCACAAAAAAGCTTACCAGGCTGATTGGTGGCCCATCCCCTTTTCGGGTTTCTTCGAAAATAGGAGCTGAAGCCGACGGCTTCAGGGGGACGTACGTTGGACAACCATTGGACAACCATCCGGAGGCCAAAGAACCTGAGTTTGATGAACCTTACCTTTTCAAAGCGATGGGAACAGGTCCGGCTCTGCTTCGCTTGGGGATGGCTTGGATGGCTCTGCTTCGCACAAGTCTGAGCCAGAGCCATTTTGTTTTGATATTGCCTTGACCAACCAGTTGCCTTGTTTCGCAACAGCGGAAATTTGTAGCCCCAGTCAGAAAGTGTGAGATTGGTATTGATATTCATACCATTTTATATTATCTTTATTTTGACATCAGTGATAATTATTGATGATGATGATGATCATGATGATGATGTTGTTGATGATGATGATGATGACGATGACGATGATGGTGACGACGACGACGACGACGACGACGATGATGATGATGATGACGACGGCAAGAACGACAATATTTACTACGAAATACTACAATGATATCTGAGTCATTTTTTTGGGGTTCACCATGGCAGGTTGGAGAGCGAGAAGACCTTGAGGCCAGGCATGGAGTAAAATCCTGCTATGAATCGTGGTAAATTACTATGAGTCTTTCTTGGGGATGCTATATTTTTTAATTTCACAGGGATCATTCAGCAAGTTTCCCACTTCCTTGTGATTCCTTGTGTATATAATATTGTATATATATATTATATGTTATTGCACTCATGTTTCAATAGCGGTCATAGCTTCTGCGGTTGTGATCCCAGCCCCAAAAGGTGTCCCGTCGGTTCTACTGGTATGAATTTCCGATGCTGAAGCGTCTCCGTTTCTTTCCCGCATCCCTAAACGATTCACATTTCATCAGCCTTGGAGCCTAAAATGTTTGGTTAGATCAAACATGATCACCCCATATGGTCATCATATCCCCCCGTGTTTTTTTCCTGGGACATTTTGACCGGAGAAGTTTTTGCTTCCCTTTGCAGCGTACCCGGCGACTATCAACATTTAGTACGCGCCCTTTTGTCATGGTGAAACACTGTCTTGCTTACCCCATTTTCCAATGTTTAATTGCTCTGACCCCAATATCCTCCTGCAGAACTCAGTTTCCATTTTTATTTTGCTCTCAAAAACCTGGAAAATCCATCAAAATCCTAACTCAAGTCCCCGTCTCTGGTTGAGTGCAGTAGGATTATTGAAGTTGAACCAGTCCCTATTTTGGCGCAACCATCAAAAAAAACATGATTTGGGTATGGATCAATACCTATAGATACCATTTTTAGTGGGATGAACATCCATTTACCAGCTATTTTGGGCTTCACTAGGTACCAGGGTTTTGACCCATCCCCATTTTTTGCTGGTACAGCTCCCTCTGCCCAGGAACTGCTGGAGCCTCCACCCTTGGAAGGTCACGACAAGAACTTCTGCCGAATCGCAGCGTCACAGAGGCGGGTCGGGTTCTTTTCTCATCTTTAAACAGGACCGAAAAAGACACCTCACTGACCCATAGGATCCATGTATGGTATATATGCTAACATAAAGGGGGTATATTGATGGGATCCATGTTACCATATATACCAGCACCATGGATCCTATGGGTGAGGATAACATGAACATGTTTGATAGACATTGGACAATATTAACTTTGATCATCTTTGATCATTAGATGAGTTTTAACAGTGGGTTTGCCATCTAGGCATGGATGTTTTCATGATTTGGGTGAGTTCTTAGGAGCTCAACACGATCTTAGTGTCCAGCCATGGGCACCATTTCCACCGTTCCGTGGCTCTGTGGACGGAAGTGTGAGGAAAACCCGGTTTTTCTGTGTTCGAAACAGGGAAAAACTGTGCGAAATCCAAATGATACCTGGAACACAGATGACTCCATAGCCCCTTTCTGGATGCTTCACCCCCACTTTTCATCACTTGGAACTGGGTCAGCTCCAGTTCCAAGTCTGCCAGCGAAGGCTGTACTACTTGGATTCCGTGCAGATCCCGCGAAAAAGATCAGAGGACGGCTGAACATCGAGGGGTTGATGGCTTGAGGGTGACAAGGTTTTGGCATCATGGTGAGACATGGGTGATTTCTTGAGATTGTTCCATGATGTTCCATTTTCGCAATCTCTATCAGTCTGTATCTACCATTTCAAAGCATTTACCATCTGGTTATTTAACATAGCCATGGTATAGATGGCCCATAGAAATAGATGGTTTACCTGGCTTTACCTATTAAAAATGGTGGATCTTTCCATGGCGAACTGTTAGTCATAACCAGATGGTATTTCAGTTTGCAGCACAAGTCATCTCTCCAATGTGAGGCCCCCAAGATAGCTAAGTTGGTTTATAACTCCAATGTCACTATGGTTTATGGTACTTATAACATCTTATAACTATAGTTGCTGGGGCTTTTGTTAACCAACTTATAACTGGGTGGCTTCACATTGTATCTTTGTTCATCTCCCTTCAGAAACCGCCGCCAGGAGAGGCTTCCCACGGAACGTCCGTCTTCGGCGCCGAAGGCCAAGCCCAAGCCCAAGAAGAAGATCTTGCGGAGACTCGCCGCGGAAGATCAGGTCTTTTTTGGGGAAACCCGGGAGATTTTTCGTGCATGGATGTTATATGATGTGATATGATGTTATTAATGATGTTATAGTTATATGATGTTTAACATAGTTTAATGGATGTTACCATCTGGTTGTTTAACATAGCCATGGAAAGATCCACCATTAAAAAAATAGGTAAAGCCAGGTAAACCATCTATTTCTATGGGCCATCTATACCATGGCTATGTTAAATGACCAGATGTTATATGATGTTATAGTTATCTGGTTGGTGGTTTCAAAACATGAATTTTATATTTTCCATAATATATGGGATAATCCTTCCCATTGACCAATACTAATATTTTTCAAGATGGTTAAAACAACCAACCAGTTATAGTTTTTGTTATAACATAACAACATAACTATAATATAACAACTATACATATGTTATAGTATGTTATAGTTATAGTTCTAATTATGGATCTAAGTATAAGCATAACCATAGCTATAATTTACACTTGATAAAATTGATGTTAAACTGTTATGGTCATGGTTGTAGTCTGTTGTACAGTGAACATGTTTATCATTTGATTCGTCATATATACCAGATTATAACCATATTATTATGGTTATAGTTTGGATAAAACTAGTACTAGTCGCAAACTATAGTTTTTGGATGTTTTTGGATGTTTTTGGATGATTAGTCACATCTATAACCATATTATAAACTATAAATAAGCAAAACTAAAACTCTAACTTAATGGTATACCAATAGCTGGGAGGATTTTTGTTGGGATGATGATATTTATTGGGATGATTGGGATAATTAGTGGGATAATTATGTTTAACATGTAACGATTCTTGGGATAAGAACAGGAACTATGAACTATAATGATTCATTATATATCTAGAAATAGTGATAACTATTATCACTAAAACTATTATCTATTCACAAAAACTATGAACTATGATAATAGTTATAA